TAACCTTTAATATATTGAACCACATTAAAACTATCATAACCTTTAATATTTTGAACCACATTAAAACTACCATAACCTTTAATATTTTGAACCACATTAAAACTATCATAACCTTTAATATTTTGAACCACATTAAAACTATCATAACCTTTAATATTTTGAACCACATTAAAACTACCATAACCTTTAATATTTTGAACCACATTAAAACTATCATAACCTTTAATATTTTGAACCACATTAAAACAATCATAACCTTTAATATTTTGAACCACATTAAAACTACCATAACCTTTAATATATTGAACCACATTAAAACTACCATAACCTTTAATATATTGAACCACATTAGAACTATCATAACCTTTAATATTTTGAACCACATTAAAACTATCATAACCTTTAATATATTGAACCACATTAAAACTATCATAACCTTTAATATTTTGAACCACATTAAAACTATCATAACCTTTAATATATTGAACCACATTAAAACTATCATAACCTTTAATATTTTGAACCACATTAAAACTACCATAACCTTTAATATTTTGAACCACATTAAAACTATCATAACCTTTAATATTTTGAACCACATTAAAACTATCATAACCTTTAATATTTTGAACCACATTAAAACTACCATAACCTTTAATATTTTGAACCACATTAAAACTATCATAACCTTTAATATTTTGAACCACATTAAAACAATCATAACCTTTAATATTTTGAACCACATTAAAACTACCATAACCTTTAATATATTGAACCACATTAAAACTACCATAACCTTTAATATATTGAACCACATTAAAACTATCATAACCTTTAATATTTTGAACCACATTAAAACTATCATAACCTTTAATATATTGAACCACATTAAAACTATCATAACCTTTAATATTTTGAACCACATTAAAACTATCATAACCTTTAATATTTTGAACCACATTAAAACTATCTCACTTCTGATTCAGTGCATTTATATATATATATATATATATATATATATATATATATATATATATATATATATATATATATATATGTATATATATATATATATATATATATATATATATATATATATATATATATATATATATATTTATTTATTTATTTATTTATTTATTTATGTATATATATATATATATATATATATATATATATATATATATATATATATATATATACATAAATAATTAAGACCTCCTGGCTTTAAAAAAAAAGAGATCATGAAATTCGCAATTAAGCATTAAATATGTTCAATATCTGCTCATCTAGTTGTAAAATACATACTCATATTTCCACAAACTTTATCATACATTAAAACTTGTACTCACTCCCCCCCGCCCCACCCAACCCACATTACGTCGAGAGTAGAAGTGTGAGCGAGAAGTCCCCTCCCGGAGATTTAATCTAGCTTATACCGGTGTGCGCGTGTTTGTGTATGAGTGTTTTAATTACAGCTGTAGTAGTCTACAGGTTTCAAAGTTTTATTTGCGATACACCGCCACCATAGTATGTTTACAAAGTGTTGATGAATATTACATGGTTAATCAGTTACACCTGTTGCATACTTGGTTTTCTTCATATCAGTTTGGCTTACCAAGTTTTATAATTAGGGTTTATGTTTGTGTTTACAATAGGGCTGGTAAGTAGGTCACCAAACAGTTCTATAGCTCATTCAGGTTTTATTGAGCCGTTGAACTGGTTGGTGACCTACTTACCAGCCCTATTAGGTTCATTTTTAGGTTAATGCTCATCTTTTGGTTTAGAAAGGTAAACGTTTAGAAAAGGTTTTGGTAAATTCTCAGTGTTTCAATTTTTGTTTAGATTTTGGTTTAGATTAAAACTATAGGGCTGGTAAATAGGACATCAACCAGTTCTACGGCTCAATAAAACCTGCATGAGCCGTAAAACTGGTTGGTGACCTACTTACTACCCCTATAGCTGATGTCAAGAGGGAAGGTGTGGTCGGATGTTAGTGCACTTGACCTCAAACCTGAAAGTGTCGAGTAAATATTTAAAGGCGTCGAATTAGAGTTCATCGGTTTCAATAATCTAGACATAGGAGAGGAGAGTATGGTCAGCTCTTTGCCTAGCCGCCTTTGTTTCTCTGGAACGTGAGTCAGACCTGAGTGGACTCAATGAGGACCTTTAGACATGAGCCAGAAATCCGAACTCGAAAATAACGTGTAAGCAGTCATAAGCTCCACCATAAAACCACACCACAAAACGCTTGTTTGCGCTGATTTTGATGCACCTCAAATTTAAACTCGCATACTGCTTTTTGTATTACGCAACATCTATATGTTCTACATTTAGTGCATTGCCCCATGTTGTATACGTTATTGATGAAACCTATATGATTGTGTTGGGCAATTATTCGTTTGTTTAATCCGAGTAAACTAATCAAGTATAGTGTTAGAATGATGACGGTATTACATTGAAGCTGATGAAACACACTATGGTTCGCAATTATTAATGAATTTTTTTTTCTACAGTTGCCGCCTACTTCCCAATGAATTTTTATTTTTTTCTAAAACGTTCCTGGCCTTGTAGTTATTCCGCAATTTTGATAATGCTACAAACACACACACACGCACGTGTACTCACACACACACACTCATTATCACTGACATTCACAGTTACCCATTCACACTCAAACATAAACACACGTAAACTATCACACACATAGTCACAAACTCATACACCAAACTATACTCACACAGGTACACACACTCACTAGGCTGTTAACCCGAAGTCTCGGGTTCGAATCCGGGTCAGTCGAACTTTTCTGAGTCTACCCAGCTCTGATAGGTACCTGACTCAGGGAAAGTAAAGCCGGCTGGGCAAAGTGCTGACCACAGTATCCCTTCATATACCGAGGTCAAGAAACATATGCGCTCTACTTCATCTGCTCAATTGATCGCTGGGTCTAAACAGGATTCTTTATTTTTTACCATACAAACACAGAGAAAACACATTGTTATTCGTTAGAAACTGTTAAAGACCCAACAATAGGACTGGTAAGTAGGTCACCAACCAGCTCTACGGCTCAATAAAACCTGCACGAGCCTTAGAAATAGTTGGTGACCTACTTACCAGCCCTACTAGCATTAACAGCACGCATTTTGCCCCCACAAACTTAGGTGGTCAGGTCAAATGGCCTGTATTTTATTCGGTTTTCTGAAAACGGTTGCTAGATGTTTTCCCGATTTCTGAAATATCAGAGATGCTGATTACTTTATATGGTCACGGTAAACTTAAGTGTGTCACATGATGTACCTGTAAATTATGTTCTTGCAAGTGAAAGTAGCTCGTAATTTTCACGACACTATACTCATTTGCATTTGTGTTTATTAATCAGTTGAGATATCTATAGTTATAAATTACAAAATATTGTGTAGAAGATTTGAAATCAGCAAAAATATGTTAGAAGATACTGAACTTATGTCTTCATGTATGTATGTGTGGGTCGTATGTATTTAATTAACTTCGGATCATGTATGTGCGTGTCGTATGTTTTTTAATTAACAACGGATAATGTATGTGTGAGTTGTATCACGTGTGTGTGTGTGTTAACAGGTACACGGAACTTTTAATTATATTTATTTATTTCAATTTATCAATTCTTAATTAAATTTCAAACAAATATTCTCTTTCTGAAACGGTAAATCAAATTCCACGATATTATACGTTTTACAGCAACTTGGATCTTATTGCAATTGCAACTACAAATAAAAATTGTTCTTTATCCTTATTATCATTTTTTTATACAATATAAATATCGTATGTTTCTTTAATTAAGGGCGGATCGAATGCTGGTAAATAAAAGAATGCAGTGTTTTGTTACTATTAGCATGTGTATGTTCATAAGGACATAACCTCGGGGTCAATGACACAGGTCTAAACAGGTTGAGACTGATGCCATGTACTCATGTCGCAATCACGTTGTAAGTATATCAAGTCGGACTGATGCGTAGTGGGGCGTGGTCAGATGTTTGATGTTAGCCATCATGAATGGAAATGTACCAGCACAGCGATGGTACTAATGGGATGGTAGGACACTGGCGCAGAGGCGTAGCGAGGCGGGGCAGGGGGTGCTGACCGCACCGGGTGACACCATTTAGGGGGGTGGCACCAAGGCAAAAAAATAGCAAAATATATAGAGAAAAACTTGAGGGGGGGTGCAAATCAAGTTCGAGGGGGGGGGGGGGGGGTAAAAATCGAAAGTTTGAGGGAGGTGGGGGTGCAAATCGAAAACTTGAAAGTTTGTCCCCGGGAAGGGTCGCTACGCCTCTCGGGGGTAACACCATTAAGTGCCGCACCGGGTGACACCCGACCTCGCTACGCCACTGCACTGGTATATAGGGCCTGTTTAAGGTATAATGGAATTATAGGAGATTTGTATATAGGACCTGTTTTAGGTACTAATATAATTATAGGACATTTGTATATAGGGCCTGTTTTAGGTACTAATTGAATGATAGGACGCTTGTATATAGAACTTGTTTTAGGTAATAATGGGATGATAGGACATTTGTATATGGAACATGTTTTAGGTATAATGGGATGATAGGACATTTGTATATAGAACATGTTTTAGGTATAATGGGATGATAGGACATTTGTATATAGAACATTTTTAGGTACTAATGGGAAGATAGTATATTTGTATATACTTGGTTCATGTTACCTAGAGTATTGTTTAAATTAATCAAAATTTGTTCTAGCGATAGTTGAATGATAGTTTGTGTTTTAGGTTAGTTATAATTTTTTCTTTTCCATTTTAGGGGGCGGTATTGTTCTTCGATGGGGGTGGGGGGGTGGGGTGAGAGGGGAGTGGCTGATTCAACTACCGAATATTCATCAGTAAACGTATGCAAGGTCACACATGAGGATGTGATTGGTTTATCTGTGCCAACATCAAACTTCCCATTGGCTGAAGGCTGAACGCGCTGAATCCTCTCACGTGACTTTAACAAGGTTATAGTATAAGGCGTGGGGTTATCGGTTCTCTGCAATAATTTGTGAAACGTATCCTTTTTAAACTAAAGAAGGGAACAAACCCTGTCCGTCTTCGTGTTTGTGGTAAGTTCCTAAACACTTGTTTGTTAACTCAAAAAAAAAAAAAAAATTAAAACAGCGGCAAAATTTTTTTAAATATATTTTATTTGTATTATTTAAAAAAGACTTTGTTTTTACACTTAAAAGCTGTTGCTGAACGTTTAAATAAACTCTTTAACAGAGTTTCTTCCTGGCATGTTTCCGGGGAGGCGGAGCCCCCCCCCCCCCGTAGAAAGTCTACCGCCCCCCGAACGCAATGGAATTTATATAGAAAACATATACTTTTACAAGTGCCCGCCCTAACCCGGAAAATGTTGACCGCCCCCTTCCCCTCCGAAAATATCAAGTGCCCCCCCCCCCCCCCCGGAGAAAAAAGGCTGGAAGAAATACTACTCTTGAAGCGTGTAATAAAATATTACATTCTTAATTGCGATATGTGCTGATTTCCTGCCTTCCATTGTTTTTCATCCATGTCTCGATGTTTCGAATACCATAAACTTATATCGATGTAATTAAACTTATTGATCTCTATTATAAGCCTGTTGACTGCAGTTAACTAATATTCGTCCTTACGTACTCACTTTTATTGAACTATGGTCTACCCGGCGACAATACATACGTTCGACAAACTATCAGACTCCACACACAACAAGCAGAAAAAGGGGGGGGGGGGGTAGAGTTGTCTGACGAGGCGTGACGAGAGTTTCTGTGTTTGCGTGTGTGTGTGTGTGTGTGTGTGTGTGTTTTGCCAAACCATTAATAACCTATTACTGGTATGTAAATTGTGTTACTGTACAATATGTGTAAATCTGTTTTCCCCTAACGTGCGCATGATACCCATCAGACTCGCGGACGGTCTACTGACTTGAACCCGGATTTCGAGCTCAAAACTTGCGGGTTAGCTGTCCAGCTCTCTACTGCTAGACCACTCCGTCCCTTGTGTGTGTTTAAGGCAGGGGTCGGCAACCTTTTGAGTCGGAAGAGCCAAAAGTTACAATTTAAAAAATGTTCCACTTTATAAAGAGACACATTATTATTTCAATATAATGGTATTTGATTAGGACTTGGTAAATACATTTGATTTGTTAGTTAAAAGCATGGAATTGTTGCCACGGTGCTGTCCACAGAACGGCTGTGGGGCTGGGCCTGGTGCCCAAGCGGCTGTCAGCTGTCCGTATACTTGCTACCTCGCCTATTCTCACTGTTGTCTGAAGTGTGTTTTTAGGCTTTTTAAAGTTGTATAATATTTGTTATGTGTTTAAAAATGAAATAATATAACAAGTATTATTGGTGCTAGGAACTTGAGAGCCGCATCTCAGAATCCAGGGAGCCGCATGCGGCTCGCAAGATGCAGGTTGTCGACCCATAGTTTAGGGCTTTTTTTTTTTTTGCCTCAGACACGTAATTTACAGCGTCAGTTGTGTGTTCGCTTTAGTATTACAGTTTTCATCATCGGCTTGTGAGGACTGATACAGATTTACAATAGTAATATTTTTTTCTTACTTTAGGGCATTAATTTTTTTTTTTTTTTTTTTTAGTTGTTCCAAATTTATTCTGACATGTGCTATGTATCACAACTATGTATTATAAAATCTTTTTTACCACACACCCATTTGAACACACTAATTGATCAACTTCACCCTTTTCCTGATTCAATACTCATCTGAGCATGCATTTTTTCTCTACACTATACATACACAAAAAAACAAACAACTGAATGTCAATTGTACACAATAAAAATGTAATATTTTCGTTTTCTCTTTCCTTTCATTTTGCTTGCAACCTTTGAACTTTTTGTAACCAATTCGGGTCCTTCATGCTTTTTGGGATCTTTTTCATCCACATACTCATAAAGATAGTCTAATATTTCTAAATGGGAGAGGTTGCCTGTCTTGAATATCAGTTTTTCGCCATCATTGAATTCTACATCAATCTGAGGTTCTATCCTGTCTGATCTGATATCAAACTTGACTGCGGTTCCGACATTGGTTTCTAATACGTCAGGCAAGTGAAGGGTTGATGCCACATCCCTGATAGATTTTACATTATTCATATATGGATCAAAAGTAAATCTAATTTTCTTAACAGGACGCAAATGTAATCTTCTAATTAAATAACTTGTAGCTTTTCGTAATGCGAAAGCCATGTTTTGTATTTGGTTTCACTGCTTGTGAAGCTAGGGCATTAAAATGCTATAGTGTTAATTGTAGATGCGGAAGATACCAGCAATAAATGTATATGCCAAATTTTAAATACTATATGTATGATTTTGAAACAATGTTTTTATTTTTTATTAAAATAATTTTGTATATTTATAAAACATTTATAACATTAACTTTTAGAAAACATTCTACTTATTCTATATTCACAAATTATATACTGTATTTTAATTGTATGATTATTACTACCATTGTTAAAATTTGACATGCTAATTTTAATATTTATTTTTTTAAAAATTATTTTGCTTCTCTCCCTTAGTCAAATAAAAATTATCTCCCCATTTACCTATTTATGTACATTTTTTTGTAGCTGAACTCAAGGAAGTCAGCATGAAGGTCTTGATTTGTTTAGTATTCTTGCTTGGTCTTTCGACTGTGTGTAAGTCAGTTTAATGTTAAATAAAATTTGTGTCCATTTTATAAAGTATCAAAAATACGTACCTTTTTAAAAAGTCTTACCCTAAGCCTTCATTTTGCCTCTTTCTTACCCCTTCCGCCCCTTTGCCTTTTGCATCCTTCGTCATCACCTTTCACCCTATACCCTTTACCCTTTAACCCTTGCTATCTACCCTTACTAGTCTTGGTGTTTAGTAGTAAAAGGGTTGTGTAGTTATCAGGCAGTAGGGTGATGGTGTGTGTTTGGGGGAGGGGGGGGGGTTCGGTTAGGAATTGAATGAATGGTGATGGGTTTTGGTGGTTGGTATGGGTTTAGGTACTGGTGTAGTAGTAGTAAGGTAGTGGTCGGGTAGTGATGGTGTAGTTGTGGTTTAATGACTGGATAGTAGTGAAATGGTTTTAGTTGGGCAAGTGAAGAAGTAGTGGAGGGGTTGTGGTGTGGTTATTGTGGTGGTGTGGCTATTGTGGGGTAATTGTGTGGTTATTGTAGTGGTGTGGTTATTGTGGGTTAGTGGTGTGGTTATTGTGGGTTAATGGTGTGGTTATTGTGGGTTAGTGGTGTGGCTATTGTGGTGGTAGTGGTGTGGTTATTGTGGGGTAATTGTGTGGTTATTGTAGTGATGTGGTTATTGTGGGGTAGTAGTGTAGTTTTTGTAGTGGTGTGGTTAATGTTAGGGAGTGGTGTGGTTATTGTGGGTTAGTGGTTTGGTTATTGTGGGGTAGTGGAGTTTTTATTGTGGGGTAGTAATGTGTTTATTGTGGGATAATGGTGTGGTTTTTGTAGTGGTGTGGTTATTGTGGTGGTGTGGTTATTGTGGGTTAGTAATGTGTTTATTGTGGGGTAATGGTGTGTTGCTGTGGGTAAGTGGTGTGGATATTGTGGTGGTAGTGGTGTGGTAATTTGTAAAAATCTTACATCCACGAGAATTTCCAATTCGTGAAAATAAGTTCCAGTTTTTACAACTGGTCGATGGTGATTTTAAGGATCTGATTTGTTTGTTTGTTTATGTCGGGGAAGTTGATAAAACCACCTGTTTTGATTATGGGGGAAGTTGATAAAACCACCTGGTTTGATTATGGGGGAAGTTGATAAAACCACTTGTTTTGATTGTGGGGGAAGTTGATAAAACCACCTGTTTTGAGTTGTGGGGGGAGTTGAATAACCCACCTGTTTTGATTATGGGGGAAGTTAGTTAAACCACATAGTATGACTGGGAGTAACCCACCTGTTTTGGCTGGGAGGGAAGTTGATAACACCACCTGTTTGGATTGTGGGGGAAGTTGTTTAAACCACCTGGTCCGAAGTTTGCATGAAACTGTTAGCAGCAGAAACTACAGTAGTTGCTTGTTGTAAGCACACATCACCTCTCTACAACTCCAGTCACTACTAGCGAATAAACGAGCACATGAGCATTGTTTCTTTCGAACATCAGAACATCATGTGGGGTACGGGCACTGTACCCAACAGTATGCACGTCCACAGCTCCCCGAACTAAAGAGAACATTTTTTTAATAATATAATTTTTTTACTAGTGTACGCTGCCCATCCCCACCCTCTCCCCTCTCATCGAATGTTCTCAAAAGAGAATAATATCTGAAAGATACATTTTTCATCATTTTTATAAATACTTTTCACTCCTCTGATTTGTGTTTGTACACTAATGTTCTCAACACCCGTCAATGGCAGCCTGCAAAAGAAAGTACAAGCATAGCCTCGTCAGCAACGCTATTCGCCTCATGGATGGTCTATACGGCGACACTATCGAGTTGGTGGAAAATCAAACCTCGGAGGTACCCGTTAGCATCAACTTCATTCCCGTCCAAGTTCCACTACTCCAAAGCCAAAAGGTCGGTTATGTTCTGTAGTCAAGGCAATATAAAAGAAAATCCCATTTAGACCTTTTTTTTTACAAGCTTTTATTTAACTCACTTCCTCTGTCGTCAGTCGTCAGTCTGTCGTCAGTCTAGATCGAAACACAGGAGTGAAAATTCGGACACTTCTACTTGGCCGATACGATTCACATTTGGCACGTGGGTCAAGACATGAAGACAATGCAATCTGAAATTAAATTTGACTTAATTGGATGAATAATTATTTTTTATGAATTAATTAAATTTTGGACCGAGTTAGTAGGCATGTCTATCTAACCACACCCCACGCGCCATCACGTTCAATGGCTGCGCCATCAGGTTTAATAGCTGCGCCATCACGTTCAATAGGCGCGCAATGGTTTTTAGTCATGTAACTCTATTGTAAATAAAACATGTAAAGTACTGAAAAAAAATTCATAAAAAACGTTTTAATAACAAGCTTTTATGTAATAATGCACTAAAAAGTCGAAAATAAATTATAGACTACTATTTAAATTACTATAAAGAAAAGCGTGGGCGTCTTCCTTAACATTAGTAAAGGTATCCAATAGATACTAAAGTGACCCACGCTTTTCTTTATAGTAATTTAAATAGTAGTCTATAATTTATTTTCTACGTTTTAGTGCATTATTACATAAAAGCTTGTTATTAAAAAGTTTTTTTATGAATTTTTTACAAGCTTTTATTTAACTCACTTCCTCTGTCGTCAGTCGTCAGTCTGTCTAGATCGAAACGCCGGAGTGAAAATTCGGACACTTCTACTTGACCGATACTGTTCACAGTTTGCACGTGGGTCAAGACACGAAGACAATGAATTCTAAAATTAAATTTGGCTTAATTGGATGCCCAATTAATTTTTTATGAATTAATTAACATTTGAACCGAATTAGTAGGCATGTCTATCCAACCACACCACACGCGTCATCACGTTCAATAGCTACGCCATCACGTTCAATAGGCGCGCAATGGTTTTTAGTCATGTAACTCTATTGTAAATAAAACATGTAAAGTACTGGAAAAAAATCATAAAAAACGTTTTAATAACAAGTTTTTATGAAAAAATGCACTAAAAAGTCGAAAATAAATTATACACTACTGTTTAAATTACTATGAAGAAAAGCGTGGGTCGCTTCTCAAATATTAGTAATATTAGTATTATAGTAATTTAAATAGTAGTGTATAATTTATTTTCCACTTTTTAGTCCATTATTTCATAAAAGCTTGTTATTAAAACGTTTTTTATGAATTAAAAAAAAATATTATTCCCGTCCAAGTTCCACAACTCCAAAGCCAAAAGGTCAGTTATGTTCTGTGGTCAAGGCAATATAAAAGAGAATCCCAATATATTCCCGTCCAAATTCCACAACTCCAAAGCCAAAAGGTCCGTTTTTGTTGATGTTGTCTAAGCAATAAAAGAAAAAAATCCTATTTAGATATAGAGATACGTTGGGTAGATGACGTAGAGTTTCTTGACGTCGGCATATATCAAGTGAAGATGTGGACAGCAATAGGGCTGGTAAGTAGGTCACCAACCGGTTCTATGGCTCTTGTGACCTACTTAGGTCTTTTTATTTCTTTTTATTATTTAGTCTCCTGAGCTATGTAGTTGACCTTGGGAGAATTGTCAGTTCACTGGTACGCATCGGTCAACTGAACTCAGTCACGGCATGTGACATTGATTTTAATCCTTATCAGAACCTCGGCCAATGGTTGTTTAGTATTGAAGATCCTTAACCGATCCTCGACCAATGGCCTTGCAACATTATAGTAGCTTCCCTTGGGTTTGGTCTCGGATAAAAGGTCGAGACACGACTTCTACAGGGGACTTTTTTGACCTAGACTCCGGGAGGCAACAGTGCGGTGTGTGTGTGTGTGTGGTTTTATTTGAATTGTTCAGTTCGTGGTGATATATAATTAGTTCCTCACCATAGGAGTTGTTGGCCACTCCAGTGTTTAAGATACATTGTTTAGGTGTGATATTTCACCAAGTTGTATGGTTATTCCACTGTTAATGAGTTATTGCTTAGGTGTGTTATTTCACCAAGTATATGGTCTTTCCAGTACTAATGATATTGTTTAAGTGTGATATTTCACCAAGTTGTGTGATTATTCAAATGATTATGAGATGTTGCTTAGGTGTGTTATTTCACCAAGTTGTAAGGTCATTCCAGGTTTATGATATTGTATTTAGGTGTGGTATTACACCAAGGCTTTACCTGTGACTTTAATATCTAATTGTTAGAGATATTACAGTACCATTGAGTTATCTGTGAGTGATATTTTTATGGTTTATTTATTGCTCTTAATGAAGTTTACTTTGGTGTTGACTTATTGACTATTGTACATACTTGTGCATACATTAAAATAGTAGTTGTCAGTTTAACCTAAGTTGAGTTTCATCTATCCTACGTGTCAATACCCCTAGACTTTTGATACAAGCCCACGTAGATGTAGGTGTGCTCATACTGTCCAGAAGGTTTCTGTCTGACTACTTTAAACGAACCTGGGGACGTTCGCCGATTCTGCGTCTGACAGAAGGCGTCCGTTACACTCATGAAGGTTTTATTGAGCCGTAGAACTGGTTGGTGACCTACTTACCAGCCCTATTACTTTCCCTAACATGAGTTAGGTACTCACCAGAGCTGGGTGGACTCAGGGACGTTCTACTGACCCGGATACAATCTCGAGACTTTCGGGTAGGCAGCATAGACTTCATCGCTTAGGCCACGTCGTCCCACGTACAAGCGATATGATGATATTTTATTGAATTTTTATTTAAAAAGGATGATTTTTTCAAGGTATAACAGGTACTAAATCTCAATCCACACTAGATCTTAGACCTAATCCTGGTTGATATTTTCATTGAAATTTTCTTTTAAATGTACCTGCTTCTTTTATAATAACCATATGAACTCAAATGTTAAATATAACCGCATATAAAAAATATAGTATTTTTAAAAAGTTTTTTTTAAACAAGGGGACTAATTTGGTGGTAAATAAAGTAATAGCTTGTATAGGGCTGGTAAGTAGGTCACCAACCAGTTCTACGGCTCAATAACACCAGCATAAGCTATATAACTGGTTAGTGACCTACTTACCAGCCCTATTCCCACAAAGTTTATACATGTAAACGTATAGAGCAACGCCGAAGGGATTGCTATTACTTAAGTTTAGGACTTGCTGCCTCCTGCTGCGTTGCCGACTTATGCAATTAAAAACAAACAAAAAAATTAAACAAAAGGCATCCGTAAGTTCATCTTTATAATAATACTAGACTACCCGTCATCCGTTGGATAACTGTGGGTTTCGGGGGTCATCCATCAAAAAACATCACGTCTGTCACTCAGAGGCGTAGCGACCCTTCCCGTCGCCCGGGGACAAACTTTTCGATTTGAACCCCCCCCCCCCCCCACCCGCTCGATTTCGATTTGCACTCCCTCCCCCCTCAAACTTTCGATTATCACCCCCCCTCAACCTTTCAATTTATTTTTCCACCCCATTTTGACGCCCCCTAAGGTCGGCGCCCGAGGACATAGTTCCCACAACCCCCCCCCCTCGCTACGCTACTGCAGTGTCACTTATCGTCACAAAAAACAGACCCCACATTCAAAAATATGTTTTTTATCTTTTAAAAACACCGAAAACACCGATTTCGGACTATCCCTTCATATACTGACGTCACATGTGACCTACTCAACTCTACTTCACCTGCCCAGTGTCCCGCCAAGTCTCAGACAACATGTTTTTATCGTTTAAAAAACGATTCCAGCCGAGCATGTCTCTGACCACACTACCCTTTCATATGCTTAGGACAAAGAAACAGATGAACTCTACTTCACCTGCCCTGTATCCTGCCAAGTTCAGATAGGCAACTTTGTCATTCACATCTAAAAAAAAAATGGAAAAAAAATATCATTGACATATTGGTCTAGAACCTGTGCCACCCGCATGAGAGCCGACTACACTACCAACTTAGCTATTTACTCGTGACGTCTCAAGTGAATTTTTATACTATACTTTGAGTCTCCTTATGCAACTTGATTTACGCGCATAGATCTAGATCTAAGTCTAGTAGTAGTAACTTTCAAATTAAATTTTATCTTAAATTAGCCAAACAAAGATTTATATAAAATAATTAAGGCCTGAAATAGATTCTAGATGTATTAAGGCCTGAATTAGATTCTAGTTGTAGAATTTACATTAAGTCTAGATCTAGAATTTACATTGAGTCTAGATCTAGTGACCTAGATCTAGGCTAGATCTAGATCTAGGCTAGATTCATAACTTTCCTTCGACAGCTGATCTTTAGATCTAGAGAAATTTATTGTAAAACTAAATGAAAAAAGACAGTTTAAAATTGATATAAGTGTTGGAACGTAATAAATACAGCAAACGGACGTATTGTTAAAGTTAAAGCCGACAGAAAATTAGCTTTAGAACGCTTTAAACATTGGAATGGGAACACAATCTTCTTCGATAGGCCGCCATTATCGATGTAAAAAAATAAACACATCATGTGACGTCACTGTTTCCGTCGCGTCTAGTGGCTTTTCAAATCTTTTTAAAAAATTGTTGTTAATCTACCTATGAATAAATCAATAAATTAATTAACGTCTTTAAATAAATTTGTGATTAACAGTCTGTCTGCAATAAAAAAAATTATTCTCTACCTATATACTATTTTACAGCTCTCCACGATGAATAGAATTATTAGCAATAATCAATCAGACAAACAAAAAAACAAACAAAAAAATAAATATTCAAACATGTAAACAAACTTGAGTTTTAGTAGTATATATATTGTTTTTCAAAAATAGACTCGCTATATACTCAAACGAATGTTTCTTAAAAAAAATGTTATAAAAATCGTCGAATCTATCAATAAAAAAATTTCAAAATAACGGAATTTTTTTCACTGATGCGGAAGTTGATAAAACCACTCGCTCCAAAAGAAAGTTTAAATGAAGTTATCTCTCTCTCTCTTTCTCTCTCTCTCTCTCTGTATCTCTCTTTATATATATGAATATAAAATATATAAATATAGGCCTATAAATATTATATTATATCAACCTATTTCAGGATGCATGGTTTTTCGTAAATATGAGCTATAATGATAAACCGGATGGGTCTTTCCTCATGACTTTTTCCTTAGAAAAAAGCAAATGGATCGCTGAGTTTGTACTTTTCAAAGACCAGTACATATTGTAAGTCAAACACGCGTTGGTCAATGTGTTTTTTTTTATAAGAATTTTATGACTTGTGATAAACGTGTTGATTAATTAAGGAAAGAATGTTAAAGATTAGCATAAACTTTCGCTGAAAGATGTTAATTTTTTTTATTTGCGGTAGCGGAGTAATGATATGGTGTTGCACGTGTGTGTGTACATGTGTGTGTACGTGTGTGTGTACGTGTACGTGTACGTGTGCGTGTACGTGTGCGTTAACGTGTGCGTGTGCGTGTACGTGTACGTGTGCGTGTACGTGTGCGTGTGCGTGTGCGTGTACGTGTACGTGTACGTGTATGCTTTTGTGCTTTTACAATAATGTACTTCTATAATATGCATGGTTGAATACTTTCGTCTTTTCGTGTTTGCTTGTTTTTTTTGTTTATGTATATGTGCATATATGTGTATGTATGAGTGTTTGCGTGTGTATGAATGTGTGCGTTCGTACGCGTGTGTGTCTGTGCGTTTGTTCTTGTGTTGGTGTTTCATAATGTTTGTGTGATTACTGGTAAGTCAGTCTGTTGTTTTTACTGTGAATGTGTTTGTTTGTGTACTCGTTTCTTTTCGTGATTGTACGTGTATATGTGAATAATAATGTGAATATTATCGAGAGTGTTAATATACGTGTTCGATCCCATGTGTATTTGCGTGTTAACGATTGTGTTAATCTGTTCGTCTGTTGTGAGCTTGTTAATGTGTAAGTCTGTTAGCCTGTTAGTATGTTCATCGGTTCGTCTGATCATGTGATTGTTTGTTTATCTATTTGTCTGTTAGCCTCTTTGTTTAATTGTCGGATCCTATGCTAGTGTGTTACACCTGCACCTGCACCTGCACCTACACCTACACCTACACCTACACCGACGCCGACGCCGCCGCCTACACCTACGCCTACGCCCACGCCCACGCCTACACTACACCTACACCTACAACTACATCTACACCTACACCTACACCTACACCTACACCTACACCTACACCTACACCTACACCTACACCTACACCTACACCTACACCTACACCTACACCTACACCTACACCTACACCTACACCTACACCTACACCTACACCTACACCTACACCTACACCTACACCTACACCTACACCTACACCTACACCTATAATTACAATCACATCTACACCTATGCCTACGCCTATCCTTGCTCCTGCACCTACACCTACACCTACACCTACACCTACACCTACACCTACACCTACACCTACACCTACACCTACACCTACACCCACACCCACACCTACACCTACACCTATACCTACAATCACATCTACACCTACGCCTACGCCTATGCTTGCTCCTGCACCTACACCTACACCTACACCTACACCTACACCTACACCTAGACCTACATCTACACCTACACCCTACACCCTACACCCTACACCCTACACCCTACACCCTACACCCTACACCCTAAACCCTACACCCTACACCCTACACCCTACACTTACACATACACCCAAAGCGACTCCCACAGTCACACCTTTTAGTGTAAGTTTTCGTGTAATTTCACATTAATGATGTATCTGGTTGTTACTCTGTTGCTAATAAATATAAAATCTTGGAATTCTACTTAGCAATGTCTCAATATCCGTGTTGCAAGAGTTTCTAAATAAATACGTCACCGAGGATTTTACACTCCGCAAGCCCCGCTGTACTTGTATTTTGAAGTATCTTAGCAAGCAGACAAAAAACATAGTCAGCTGTCTTCTGCCAAAGTGTCTGACTCAGGACAAGGTTAAGGATATTTTTTTACAAATACATTATATTATTTTTTACATCTGTTTGCAATTATAAAAATCGATATCTATGTGTTATGTTAATTTTTATATTGTATATCTATATTTTAAAATTACATTTTTGTCGTTTAGTGAATTTACGTATAACTTGCTATAAGATGTTCGATTAAAGATTGTAGATATTAACACTTTTTTTATTAGGGTGAGTTGAATTTATTTTTAAATTACACCTATTGGCAAAATTACAAAACAGCGCAATTAATTAGTTTTTTCGACCCTATTATTATTAAAATGCATAGATATTGATCCGTTCAATATATTTTAGCAATTTACGTGTATTTAATTTTTTTTTACGTTATGCGAAAGAGTAAAAACAGTGGCAACTATAAAATAAATTTAAGTCGTTAAATAAACAAACCCTACTCAAGTAATTTATTAGAATTTGCTATTAGATGTTCGATTAAAGATTGTGTGATACTCGTATGAAAAAAAAAATTGAACTATAATGGTATTTGATTTTGTTAAACAGGCAAACAGGTCTATAATCATGAGATTCGACTGCTCGGGCTTGTATTTTCTCCGTGAGGACTATGTGGTTTTCTCTATGCGCCGGATCACGAAATAGTTAAGTCGTCTCACAATAGTTTTACGCGGGTTACAATTCGATACATGGGACGCCGTGGCCCAGTGGTAGAAAGGTGGACTGTCAACCCGAGTCTTGAGTTCGAATCCGGGTTTAAATCAGTGGAACGTCCCTGAATCCACCCAGTTCTGATGGGTACCTATCTTATTTTAGGGAAACAAAGGCGAGGCGTGCTGACTATAGGGCTGGTAAGTAGGTCACCAACCAGTTCTACGGCTCAATAAAACCTGCATGAGCCATAGAACTTACCAGCCCTATACTATCCATTCATATGCCAAGATCTAAGAAGCAGATGAACTCTACTTCATCCTCCCCATGTGTCTTGTGCACGAACGGGAAATAATGATGATGATATTTGATATTGTTTACTACATAAAATATTATTACGCTAGAAAGTTGTTTTTTTACTACTAATAAATATCGTACGTTTTGAGTGCCAACGAGTGATACGACTTATTACTTATCGACTCCCACCTCAGTCTACTTTTTTTTTCTTGATGTGCGTCAGATGACTAATTGCAACCAACAACTTTAAAGAAGCGTTTCTTTGATTTCAGATAACAGAATTAGTGATGTCTCCAGCTAACTAGCTTTGTCACTGTGGGTTTTTGGGGGAGGGGCTGGTGGGGTGGGCCTGGTGGGGTGGGGTGGGGCTGGTGGGGAGGGGCTGGGGTCTTGTTTAAATAAATAGGTCACGCTATCACCTTGTTTAATTTCTAACTGAACAGTTTTCCTTCAGTAGTTCCTTTACGAAACCTACTGAAATCGTTTGCTCAGTAAAGATATCAAGAAAGTATAAATGGATTTTGAAAAGAGATTTAGAGATTGAAAAGCAAAAATTTAATTGCAGAAATTCTAAATGAAGCAATTGAAACAAAAATTATAAATATTTAAGCTGATATATTTTCACAAAATGGAGTGTAGTTTCGGGCAGCCCCGTTGAAAAACTTAACATTAGCAGAGTTTAAATCAGGCAGGTATTTAATTCAAATGGTTGTCCATGACGCCATTGTGTGGACTCACGCGAGTACTGAACTCGTGCCTTCGAGTTAGGAAACGTGCGCTCTATTGCTACACCAGGTCGTTCCAACGAGGTTAGGAACTTAGGGGTCATCCATTTATACGTCTTCACGAGTGGTGGGGGTGGGAGGGTTCTAAAAAATGCAACTTTTGTGGACAGGGTGAGGGGGAGGGTTCTAAAAATGCAACTTTTGTGGACAGGGTGGGGTGTTCAGTGTGGACGTATTCATGTTGAATTTAACATCAAAATATTTACATATATTAAAAAAAAATATTGCATATAAAAATATATGTTATGATACTATCGAAAAAACCAATTATGTGAAAACAATTGAGTTTACTTTTGTTTTCTTTTTCAGTCCTAAGCTACGTCCGGCCGCCATGAACAGATTGTTGGACAAAGGTCGCATATGCCCTTTAGAGGAATAGAGATTAGCACATGTTGCTTGTCGACATATGTAGGCTATATCCTAAACACATTTTTATTAAATTCAAAAACACAATATACACATCTAAAAGCTGCGTACATATAACATATGAAATATATATTTTACAACTTTCAATTCAAAATCTTAAATTCTAAACAGGCATTTCAACAATCTTATCCATAGTAAATATAGATCTAGATCTTATACAATTGTATCATTCAACAGTAACAAACAATTTTAAAGCGGAATTATAAATTTCATTACATGTCAAACATTCAATGTATAAGACATTTGATATCCTTAATTTTTAAAAAATGTGATCTATAAAACTACATTTATACACCCTGTATTACAAAAACCAACATCCTATTCGTGGTAAAAGCGTGTAGCCTTGCTATTGCTACAAGCAAAATAAAGATGAAAAAAATATCTAAAATATGCTGCTTTAAAAGTTTTACATATGTCTTATTGTGAATCTGGTTGTCTTTTGTTTGAAAGTTTGTGTTAAAATATTGTGGTAGCTCAGTTTTTAGCCATTTTTAATGGAGTAAATTCTTTAATGTAATAATATATTTCAGTTTTAACTAGATATAAAACAAAATCAATTCAATGATTTTTAAACGTCTTTCTGAACCAAAATCAAAAGTAATTTTCATGAACGGAGTTTGCAGATCTTTCCAATAAGACTAGCCAGAGGCGTAGCGACCCTTCCCGGCGCCCGGGGACATACTTTCAATTTGGCGCCCCCCTCGGGAGCAAATTTTCGATTTGCACCCCCCCCCCTCGAACTTTTCATTTGCACCCCCCCCCCCTCAAACTTTCGATTTGCACCCCCCCTAAGGTCGGCGCCCCACCGCCCCCCCCCTCGCTACGCCTCTGAGACTAGCTAAAGAACCCTTTCGAAAACCGGCGGACTTTAGGTCAAGTGAAGTAGAATTCGCATGTATCAACCACCACGCAAACCAACCTATCACGGTGCAAAATGTGTTTGATACTTTATGTAAGGAAATGTATAATGCACTATTAGCTTTATGAATTTGATTAATTAGGTAGGTTAAATAGCAAACGCTTTAACTGATAATGGCTGTCAACTCGATATTCAAAAAGTGAAACTACTAAAAAACAATACTAATTGTTTAAAGAAAATACAGGTACATTTTAGTCTAATAATTTAACAAAATAAAAACCATAACACGAATAAAATAAATACATTGTTGAAGTATATAATTACTTGCTTGTATAAAAAAATTAAAGAATTTCACTAAAGCTGCGACAATAAACTTCACTTCTCATAGGGTGGAGAGTGAAGCCGTCGCTGCTTTGTTGCTTGCTATCTTTGTACAAACAAAGTACTATCACTTTGATATGTACGTTACACATGGGGCAGATGAACCTCGGTATATGGACTCAATGATGTCTTGAACCCGGTTTCGAACTCGAGACTTTCGGGTTAGTAGCCTACATCTCTACCGCTAGGTCATGCCGTCCCCTTACATATATAATCTATCACTAGTCTTCGTGTCTGTTTTCATATACCTAACTTAGCTCATATCATGCTTTCTGCCTAGTGTAACATATGAATCAACATTCCACCGACCCGGTCTCGCTGTTTTTACTTTATGAGCCAAACATGCCAAGCTGCTTTCTCCGTTTTCACATGTTAAACCCAACTTGCAAAGGTTCAAAGTGTAGATTAATGATTAAAAATGTGTATTAATCATCCCAAAACTTCTTCAAATATGCTGTTACTGAGTTCGATAGCTGTGTAAACTGTTTAGTGGCATGAGCAGTCATATTGTTCGGCTAATCATATAGTGGGCAGTGTAGTTAAATCGTTGGGCTAATTATATAGTGGACAGTGGCGGAACTAGAAAAAAAAGGCTCCCCCGCAAAGAAAAAATTAGGGCCCTATATATATATATATATATATATATATATATATATATATATATATATATATATATATATCCTAACTGAGGAATTTAGTCTATTTTATTGCAATATATAACCATTCTGAGAGAACAAACCAGAAAAAATTTAGTCTAAACCAATTAGGAGTTTTCACAGTATCATGAATTAGCTGGTCAAAAATATATAAAGACGTTAGCTTGATTTGTGAATGGTTTCTCGCGTTATGTTTATTTTTTTCATTTTTGGCTTTTATAATATCAATTTTGAAAACATTGATTTTTATAACTATACTATTGTATAGTACGTCTTATTTAAGTAACAATTCAGAGAATTAATTGCTTTTTAATATACATAGTACAAAACTATTTAAATGAGCTTTGTGGGCATCCCTATTTTAAAGAAGGGCAGTAAGCCATGGAAGTAGTGTGAATGTTTACCTACCTTTGAAACTATAGCTCTTGTAGATTTTAAATTATTTTTCTACACAACAATCTCTGCTATAGTAGACCTGTTTTTTTTTTTACAAAACCACTTTCAAGATGTATGAAAAACATAATTTTTGAAAAAAAATGCATTGTTTTTTGGTCGGAACTGGGCCCCTAAACGTCCTGGGCCCCCCCGCATTGCGGGGTCTGGCGGTATGGTAGTTCCGCCCCTGATAGTGGACAGAGTAGTTCGATCGTTGGGCTAATTATATAGTGGGCAGTGTAGTTAAATCGTTGGGCTAATTATATAGTGGACAGAGTAGTTCGATCGTTGGGCTAATTATATAGTGGGCAGTGTAGTTAAATCGTTGGGCTAATCATATAGTGGGCAGAGTAGTTCGATCGTTGGGCTAATTATATAGTGGACAGAATAGTTAAATCGTTGGGATAATTATATAGTGGACAGAATAGTTAAATCGTTGGGCTAATTATATAGTGGGCAGTGTAGTTAAATCGTTGGGCTAATCATATAGTGGACAGAGTAGTTCGATCGTTGGGCTAATTATATAGTGGACAGAATAGTTAAATCGTTGGGCTAATTATATAGTGGACAGAGTAGTTCGATCGTTGGGCTAATTATATAGTGGACAGAGTAGTTAAATCGTTGGGCTAATTATATAGTGGACAGAATAGTTAAATCGTTGGGATAATTATATAGTGGACAGAATAGTTAAATCGTTGGGCTAATTATATAGTGGGCAGTGTAGTTAAATCGTTGGGCTAATCATATAGTGGACAGAGTAGTTCGATCGTTGGGCTAATTATATAGTGGACAGAATAGTTAAATCGTTGGGCTAATTATATAGTGGACAGAGTAGTTCGATCGTTGGGCTAATTATATAGTGGACAGAGTAGTTAAATCGTTGGGCTAATTATATAGTGGACAGAATAGTTAAATCGTTAGGCTAATTATATAGTGGGCAGTGTAGTTCGATCGTTGGGCTAATTATATAGTGGGCAGTGTAGTTAAATCGTTGGGCTAATTATATAGTGGACAGAATAGTTAAATCGTTGGGCTAATTATATAGTGGACAGAATAGTTAAATCGTTGGGCTAATTATATAGTGGACAGAGTAGTTAAATCGTTGGGCCAATTATATAGTGGGCAGAGTCGTTCGATCGTTGGGCTAATTATATAAAGGGCAAAGCAGTTCTGTCGTTGGGCTAATTGTATAGTGAGCAGTGTAGTTCGATCGTTAGGCTAATTGTATAGTGGGCAGAATAGTTCGATCGTTGGGCTAATTATAGTGGCCAGAGCAGTTCGATCGTTAGGCTAATTATATTGTGGACAGAACAGTCTGATTGTTGGGCTAATTATATTGCGGCGATACATGGGTTCTTAGTCACTTTAGGCGTCTAGGAAAAGCGCCGATCACAATAACCCTTTCAAATGCCGAGGTCAAAGAAACTTGTAAAATCTACCTCACCTGCCTCATGGACCATCCTAATATATAATTCCCCATGTGCGCACTTCTCTCTCTCTCTCTCTCTCTCTCTGTCTGTCCGCAAAATATTTTCGCCGGACATCACGTCAGAAACGGCAGCGATATATGGAGAACTTTATACGGACTTTTGTTGAAAATAATATGTTAGATGTTTTAAATGTATAACCACAATTTTATTTAAAGAAGAAAAATAAAAATTAAAGGCGTATTCGAATGTAGAGAAACAGTATTATTTATGCAACCGGAAAAGCATTAATAGATGTGAAAAAGAACGCATAAAACTGTGACGTCACTATTGCTTATACATTAACTAATGACGTCATCTGCCGTGTTTAGAATAAGAAGAAATTAACTATTTAATTCAAATTTGATTTAGATCTACGTACACTATGAAATGTATACAATACAATTTTTCCGGCCTAAACTCATAAAATTTATTTTATTTATTTGGATTCTAGATCTAGATATTCTAGATTCATCTATTCAAATAATACATTTCTATACTAAAGTATTTCAGGCCTTAATTACTTTATTGAAATCTTTGTTTATCTATGCAATTTGCTAATCTCTATAATATATAAAGCAAAGTTGTCGGGTGCCTTACTTCCCGGCGCCGCAGGCGCTTCAAATTTGGCAGGATCTTGCCTTGGGGCGACAGAAGACGGGGGCCGGTTGGCCGAAAAGTCTACGATGATGGGGTCAAAACTGACCTCGACTGACCGGCGCCTTATATGAGCTATAAATCGAAAAAAAATGTCCACGGAGGAACCTCTTCATAACTCCTGAGGTCGTAGTCCGACTCTCGGGCGAATTAATTAAGCATTCAAATTCTCAATGTTTTCGAAAGCCAGAGCAAAGCTGGGCAGCATGCCTAGTCATATTTAAATGGAAACTTTAATGTTACATACAGATGCTAGATTATTGGACGACCTATATTGTGGGCGTAGTTATTTGGTGGATTTTATGTTAAGTTTTTAAATTTTTAAACATTCTGTGTAGAAGATTATACTTGTCTTTCCATCACTAAGATAAGAAGTTGTCATCAATACATTCTAGTAAAGACTGTAAAATCTATTGAATTAGTCTATTTTTTTTTAAACTTAGTTTCAGGTCAAATGTACATATGTGTCTATGCTTGTTAATACAATGTGTTTAATTATATTTATTGAGTCCAATCTACATGTGTGTCTATGCGTGTTAATACAATGTGTTTAATTATTTTTATTTTGTTTCGCATTATTGATTCTTGGATCGATAGAACAAATGAGTTTTTCTAGAATAACAAAACAATGGCTTAAGTAGTCTAATCCCGGATTATACGTTAATACCAAGTTTAACAGCTCCACCAATGAGTCATGTAATTAAGTAATAAAACTACGTAACAAAATATACACAATTCTTTCATATGGTAATTTTTAAAAAGTAATATATACATTTTAAACTATGCGACAAGCTATTATTTATATACTTCGATTTATATGTATTTACTTGGGAAAATATTCCGGAATATTTTCCCAAGTAAATACATATAAATCGAAGTATATAAATATATGCTTGTCGCATACGCAATATTACACCCTTCATCTGATTTAAAGGCTACGGCATACATGAGGATAGTGTAAATAATCGCTATGCTCAGCCGGCTTTGTACCCTAACGAGAGACAGGTACTAATAAGAGCTGGGTGGACAGTGGGACGTCATACAGACTCAAATTCGGGATCTGAACTCTAACCTCTAGTGTTAATAATTTTACTCTCTACTATTCGACCGCCCCGTTCTTGCTATTCGATATCATTTGTAATACTAGAACTGATCACTTTTCGATATCATTTGTAATACTAGAACTGATCACTTTTCGATATCATTTGTAATACTAGAACTGATCACTTTTCGATATCATTTGTAATACTAGAACTGATCACTTTTCGATATCATTTGTAATACTAGAACTGATTACTTTTCGATATCATTTGTAATACTAGAACTGATCACTATTCGATATCATTTGTAATACTAGAACTGATCACTTTTCGATATCATTTGTAATATTAGAACTGATCACTATTAGATATCATCTGTAATACTAGAACTGACCACTATTCGGTATCGTGCATGTTTTTAATATAATTGATCATTATTCGATATGATCTGTATATAGTAAAAAAATCTCTATTTCAAAGGACGACTATGAGTAAAGCAGAACATCACCTATACTGCCTATTGTGTGAGTATAATCCGTACCTAAGTCTACCTTCGGAATTGAAAATATTACTTTATGTTGATATTGCTATTGTTTACATCCACGTCAGCATAGTGCGTGGCTACAAAGGCGCAATGATTGGTTCATTTCTTCTCGTGTTCAGCTTCCGCTTGGTTGATTGATTGGCGTGCCCCGGCCACCTACTTTCTGAGGTATAGAGCGAGGTTTTAGCGGATCTTTACAACCTAAAAATTCAATAATACTGAAAAAGGTTTAATTACGCAAACTAAGGTAACATAAACTTTAATTTTTTTTGTACGTGGTAAGTCTGAATTTATTTATTGAATATATTTTCGCGTTTTGATTTTTTCTTTGTTGTATACGGAGTATAGAGGAAGTTTATGTAATCGTTGAAACACTTAGTTTTGTACTCTTGCTTGAGTATGTGTGTTATTGTGAACACGATTATATGTATGTATATACATATATATACATATATATATATATATATATATGTACATATATATATATATATATATATATATATATATATATATATATATATATATATATATAATTGTTTACAAATTATTCATGTAAGTTTACCATTTAACTTTTTTAGCTTTACTCACGGACATCAGCATGAAGATTCTCTTGGTGGGCCTAGTGACTCTACTTAGTCTTTCCAATGTGTGTGAGTCAGTTTGCAATGTAAAATATGTTTTTCCAGAGTCCAACGTTAGTGATTGGCTTATTCAATATAGTTTCAAAACGATGATAACACGAGGTTCTTATGTTCTAATGTAGTAATAAGGATCTATTTTACCCGGAGAAGAATTAATGTTGTAATAAGCACCTATTTTATATGAAGAGAGATTATTGTAGTTGTAAGCACCTATTTTACCTGTAATTTACCTGTAGCTTGTTAAAGGTGTTACTAGCACATATTTTACATATAGAGGGATTAAGGCTGTAATGAACATGTATGTTACCTAGGGAGGTCTTAATGCAGTGACAGGTATGCATTTTACAAGGAGTAAGTTTAATGTTGTGACAAGCGTGTATTTTACCTGTGTAGATTTATTTGTATGGCACACCTGGTATTTTACATGAGTTGATTAAATGTGATAATATGCAGCTTATCCTATCTATCATTCAATTTTAGGATAATCCCCTGTTCTTTCTAAGATATATTAATATTAGGAAAAACAACCAGGTCCAAAAAAAATCCATTGAATACCGTTATTAGTCAATAAAGTAACATAGGGTCTTAATGAAGTCGTATCTAATTTGATCTGCTTAGTCAGCATTAGAAGGAAGTTAACAGTATAATGTTGTACCATTGTTAGAAATACATTCTAATCCACTGATCTATTTCATGCATCACTCTACACACCATACGTACCAAATCTGACAGCGTGCCAGAACAAGAGAAACAGAGACGAAGAACTGCTCCTGAACAACGCCCTAAGACTTCTGGGTGGAACTTTTGGTGACGCCTTCAAACATCTGCGCCGGACAAACTCAAGCACTAAAGTTTCACTCAAGATTAGCATGATACCCGTCACAATCAGCAAACTGAAAAGTCCAACGGTAAATCATATGTCTGTTTGAAAAGCCATTTTAGGGGTCGGAACGGTAAAGCTCATGGTTGCTAAACCAAAGAGTCTCGAGTCCAAACCATCGGGCAGATGAGGCTCGTTAGCTGGAGACAGCCACTCTTCTATGAGAGACAACTCCAAAATAAAAAATAAAAACAACTGCTGCCTTGTATTTGTTCTTGGTTGGACAAAGGCTATGGAAGCAAATTCAATAAAGAAAAGCAGGCTTCATTCGGAGTCAATGGTTAAAGCCGCATAACTAGTTGACACGTATCCTTAATTGTGTAGGAGGGGGATCCCGTCCAACACTAAAATTAAGAACGAAAAAGAAGAAAAAAAAAACATGCTGATCATTTTCTATATAAATCTATTTTATATATTATAAAAAATTTTGGGGGGGGGGGGGGGGGGGTCGGAGATATCCGAAGAGATGCCTGGAAGGAGCTCTGACTTATCTAATCAGTTCAACTTACCTCTGACATACGGCGGTGACGTAGGTGGGAATGGATGTAATCAGCTGAAGACAACACTAGACTAAGACACGACAGACCGTGTTGTGTTCAGATATCTCCTAAAGCAACTAGAAAGTTTAGCTAGCTTTCGCACCATTGCACGTTATCTCGCATGGGCGCGCCAATTTATTAATAGCTTTTATATTGTGTACTTGAATTCCCTGTCATTACTAAAGACGGCTCAAGTTTTTGAAATTAAATTAAGTCTGCTATAGTTAAATTTAAAACGAAAAAGTCTTATCATAAAAACATAACATTTAATTTTAGTTCGTGCGATAAAAATAATTGATATTAATATTGTTAATAGTAAAATTAATGTTTTGCATTTTTTTATACAACATACACCATACATTTCATATATCATATTTGCTTTATAATAAAATTTCTTCTTTATATTTATGTATTTGTTGAAAATTATCTAGAGACTTGAACTCAAGTCGAAGTAAAATAAGCATCCCATAAATCGTAGATAACCGAACATTTTAGTTAAAGTTCAAAATCCCCATCAAAAATAATTCAAAAGAAAGAAGAAAAAACAAAACAAAAATTTAATAGGGTATTTAGACCAATCATGACTTAATTTTACTTTGTTTTGAGAACAGATAAATGTAAATTTTATTTATTGTAACATAAAATAAGTATATTCTTCTCGAATATAGGCAAAAAAACTACACGTGACCAATGAAAGTGTTCGCTGAAATGTGTGAATCCATTTTATTTTAAATAAATATATAGGCAATATTCGCATCTTCTTTTAATCGAGAGAACCATATGCAGTAAATTAGTTAAGCTCAATTATACCCCCGCTCTAAAGGAAATATTTTATTTCCAAATTTAGCTGGTCGATCTAGATACTCATTTAAAAAATCCACTGTTAAATTCAATTATAAATAGAATAATTATTTACATTTATTTAAAATACATTATATATAACGAGTAAACACTTGCCCGAACGCCATAAATCCAGGGTGGACATTTTTTCTGAATGATACAAAAGCCCGAATGGACGCCAGCCCCTTCAGGTATATATATATATATATATATATATATATATATATATATATATATATATATATATATATATATATATATATATATATATATATACTAGGCATACTGCCTAGCTTCGCTTAGGTTTTCAAAAAAGTTGGGGAATTGAATGATTAATTAATAGGTGATTGGCTGCTATCTTAAATGCTTAGGGCCTAAATTTTTACAGTGGAGTATTTTAATGTCACTCAAATAATCGATGGAATATTCGCAAACTTATTACTTGTACGGTTATTAGAACTGCAAGGGTTTTCTTAATATTATCAATCAAATATTATAATAAATTACTTTTGCAATTAATTTATACAATTACAGTTCAATGCAAAACTTAATTCGTAACAAAAAATTTATTTAAAACAATGCTATACTTTATGATTTTTGTTTTTTTCTTAAAAAGAGTATACAAAATATTTAAAAATTATTACATTAAAAAGTTACCTCCCCTGTTCAAAGACCAAATGACCAAATCTGGTATAATGAGAATTTCACTCGCGGTCATTTTTAGCCCTCTAAGAAGGCTATAAGTCTGACAAACAGTTTTCCATACGGCGTAGTCAGCTTTTGAGGTGTATACAAAAAATTAGTCAGATGTAAAGAGGGTAAGTGTCCTAAAATCCGTTTTCAAATTACCCTCTGTTTTTTCTATAAAATACAAAGATTATATAGGGAAATACGACTGGTCAGTTTTGACCCATTTAACGAATTTTCCCGGACATGGCGAGTTTTTTGGGACACCCCAAGGCGTTCTCCTACCACCTCACAAAATTTCAAGGGGGGTCGTCGGAGGAAATTTTTTTTCGTAATAGAGCTCATATAAAGAGAATTTCACTCGCGGTCACTTTTTAGCCCTCGTCGAGGGCTTTGAGTGAAACCGACAGTTTTCCCTAAAGGTCAAGCCATTTACCTAAGAGCATGCAAAAAATTAGCCAGATGTAAAGACGGTAAGTGCCCTAAAATCCGTTTTGAAATCACCCTCTGTTTTTCCCATAAAATACAAAGATTATATAGGGAAATACGGCTGGTCAGTTTTGACCCATTTAACGAATTTTCCCGGACATGGCGAGTTTTTTGTGACACCCCGAGGCGTTCTCCTACCACCTCACAAAATTTCAAGGGGGGTCGTCGGAGGAAATTTTTTTTCGTAATATAGCCCATATAAGGCGCCGGTCAGTCGAGGTCAGTTTTGACCCCCTCTTCGTAGACTTTTCGGCCAACCGTCACCGGCCCTCGTGTTCTATCGCCCTAAGGCACCATCGTGCCAAATTTGACGCGCCTGCGGCGCCGGGAAGTGCCCTATCGGGCACCCGAACACTTTGCTTTATATATATAGATATATATATATATATATATGTATATATATATATATATATATATATATATATATATATATATATATATATATATTCATATATTATATGTATACATGTTAGGGAGTTTGGTATTACGTAAACATAACGTATGAAAACAAGCCTGATGATGCTTTTCTCATGGGAATAACGATGGAAAATGGCAAAGTTGTAGCAGAGTTCGCCATTTTCAAAACGCAGACCATATAGTAAGTCTACACCCCATGGCATTAGGCTCTTTTTCTATCAACAATACTTAACGATATTTGATTTAGAAATATTTTTTTTTAATATAATGGTTTCTTTATGGATTAAAGGGGTGGGGGGTAGGGATTTTGTGGAGATTTTGTTAGGGTGTGTGCTTGTGCAAGTGCATGTGCATGTTTATCTGTATTTGTTTATGTACGTGTATATCTACGCGCACTTGTACATTTAGTTTTATAGATATTTCTTTTGCGTTCACAAATATTTCGGCATATATATATATATATATATATATATATATATATATATATATATATATATAGATATATAGATATATATATATATATAGATATAGATATAGATATATATGTATATATATATATATATATATATATATATATATATATATATATATATATACACATATATATATATATATATACATACATACACTTTCTGTTCACTACAGCCAAACATCACGACGGTCTGTGTTGCAGCGAGTTCTAAACCGGATTGTGACAGAAAATTCGGTTATTCGATCGCCTCGCTGTTCTTGCAAATTTGTTCGTGTTAACGATAGTTTAGAGAACCTGGAATGCATTTTACCAAGATGCTTCTTTAATGACAATGTAAAAATGCGTTTCCATATTTTTTTTTCCTATTTCTATTTCTTAATTTGTTACAAAGATAATCTTTATAAGATTATACATGTCCGTTTATGTTTCATATTAATTTTATTACTATGTTTTTACATTTTTATACCGTTTGTTGATTTACTTTGAAAAATTCTATTGTATGTAGTATGACACAGATTTCGATAGTTTAATTTAAAGCTCCTAAGATGAACAGTACCTTCGGGAAAGGAGAAATTTATATTACCAACAGGAAATCATAAATTATTATTACCTATTTGAAATAAAAAATTAATATTACCTACTGGAAAAAAGAATTATATAACCAAACAAGATATTTAACATTAATAGTACTAACAGGAAATAAAAAATTAATATTACTTACTGGAAAGAAGAATTATACCACCAATCAGGAAATTAAACATTAATAGTACTTAAAGGAAATAAAAAATAAATATTACCAAACATAAAATAAAAAAAATCTAATATCCCATGTAGGTAAGGACTGACCAGACAGAAAAGTTTACATCGATGGGTGTAAATTGCAATGGCCTGTATTTCATTGAGAACGAAGAAGTATTTTATGGACTGCATAAGATCAGGAACAGGTTACGTTGCCACGTTAACATTTCGTTTAACATTTTGTTAACATTTCGTTTAACATTTCGTTAACATTTCGTATCACATTATGTTACCATGTTTTATATTAGATACCATTTATACATTAAATTTGGGAAGTATTAAAGAATTAAGTTGGGGGTGCACACAGGTTTAAGCTAGTGAAAAAGCTCTGAATCGGAAAGGTCAGGTTCTGTTTACCAGTCACTGAGGCTTTTTATTTTTGTGTATTACAATTGATAAAGAAAATAATTTCTAAATTTCCGTAGCATTCAATATTCTTAACATCGACTGTATATAATTCAGTAATGAGCTATTTATATTAATTACTATAACATTTGGTGGCTCCTTCGATCGGTGCCCGGGGTGACCTCCCTTAGCTACGCCTCTGGTTCGTGATACTCGTAAGTTGATTAAATTAGTATGATACTGTAAGATATACCTATAAAAATAAAGATGCATATCATTTTCTTCTACAGTGACCCTTCCTGGCCTAAAGCATTTCGAAAATATCTGAAGCAACGTCGTATTTGCGTTGATTAAGTCTACAATTCGACGATTAGTGGATCAACCATAAGCAAAGTCACCTATTTTAACTATCCCCTCTCCTCCCTATCGTACCACATCGTCACAGATCGTATAATATTATTAATTCAATATATATATATATATATATATATATATATATATATATATATATATATATATATATTTATATATATATATATTTATATATATATATATATATATATATATATATATATATATATCCTAATACACTTTTGAAAAATGCAAAATACAAATATAGGAAATTTTAATAAAAATTCATATCCAAGGCATTTGATATCCTCAGAACAATAAAACTGAATAAACTCTATAAAACACTTTTCAATACATCAGATTGCAAAAATAAAAATATCATCAAACTTAAAGAAAAGGTATCTTTGACTTTGTTTCTTTACAAATAAATTAAAATATGTTTTTGTTCACAAAACTTTTCTTACATCACAACATCAGTTATTTTGTGTTTGTTTGTATGTTTGTGATCAAGTAATTCCGTTTTGAACCATTTTAAAATGAGCGTTGTTCAACGTTTTTAGTTTGAAATAGTTTTTAAATTTCAAATTATTGCTGATATAACTAGTTATTAGAAATTAGTAAGTTTAGCTAACTAGTGTTCATACAGAATGTTTACAATATTTGAGACGAGCCTAGTTTTAGTACTAACAAATCTTTGAGAACGGCAAGTTCTAGAATGTTAACAAATCATTGAGGCAAGCTAGTTGTAGAATGTTAACAAATCATTGAGACAAGCTAGTTGTAGAATGTTAACAAATCATTGAGACAAGCTAGTTGTAGAATGTTAACAAATCATTGAGACAAGCTAGTTGTAGAATGTTAACAAATCATTGAGACAAGCTAGTTGTAGAATTTAACACATCTTTACAAAGAGCCAACCTGTAGAAATGTTACAAACTTTAGAGACGAAGAAAGCTGTAAAAGGTTGATATTATTATTTAAAAACGAAGCTAGTGACCGAATGACTACTTACACTTGTGAATACTCAACCCTAGTGTAAGCAACTGTTAACGAAATAAATTACATCGTGTCTAACACAACTTTTTAACTTCCAGTAGCTGTTGACTCGATATAAATAAGCGAAATAACAATAATAAAGTTTTGCCTTTTTATTATAATATGTGTAAGATTGGCGATGCTTGTGATGGTCACACATTAGGATTTAGTACGTTTAGAACCCATGTATACATGGTATTCTGGCCAACCGGATTCACAAACCATACTTTTATAAAACTAAACTAAAATTTTAAAGTATTTCCATTTACCTTCATGGGGTTCCTACTTTCAACTGCACTCGTCAATCGACATTAATTAAGCAATTATGTAATTAAGCAATTCTGTGCTTAATTAAGCAATTTTGCAATTCTGTGCTTAATTAAGCAAGTATGCAATTAATCAATTCTGTGCTTAATTAAAAGCAATTATGTACACGACAGCTCGAGCCGAAGGATCTGGTTCGACTAAAATTTGATGTCCCTATACCCGGCACTCCAGATTGTCACCTGCCATGAGTTTCGCTCACATCAAAGTAGATACAAAAAAATTAAATATTTACCGACAGGGCCTGCAATCCAGTCAAATCAACTGTTACAATAATTTACACGGTTATGTCCCAATAAGTGATGACATTCCTATGTCACGTTGTTTTTATCAACATTAAAAAGTATTTTTTTAAATTGCAGTCGAACCAACAAACAACCTGCCGAGTAAGTGTTACGTCACTATGAGCTTTGATCGTTGAAAAATTATCGATCATGGAGGAAAGTTTGGTAAATATGTATAGCCTAGGCAGAAGCAACAGATACTAAGGAGAGAAATTGGACACATACACTTGCATATATATATATATATATATATATATATATATATATATATATATATATATATATATATATATATATATATATATATATATATATATATATATATATATTTATATTTATATATATATATATATATATATATATATATATATATATATATATATATATATATATATATATATATATGACAAAACACATTTAAGCTGCAGAATATAGAGTTCAGCTGTACTACCTCGCAATGACCCTTTCTCAACACTCGCGTTCAAAGTGACCGAAAACTGACCTAGAAAGACCGCGACCTTCTTTAAGCTTTACCTTTTTTTTTTATTCCTTAAATTTGATCAACCACTTGCAGTTGCGATAAGAATATAGCGCTGGTACTAAAGGCAAATTGAAAAAAATACCAGATTCTGAGAAAAGTCATGGTAAGAAGTTAAAATCTGAACCGTTTTACCGTTTAATTTTTACCTACAACCTGTATGTAGCTGCTTCAGGAATTTAAGCTTCTTGTTTCACCTTTTTCAATTTCACAAAAATAAACGAAAAAAAATAGTAAAAACAATTTCTTAAAATGTATACTAAACCGCTTTCAAATAACTGTGAACATTATCTAATAATGACCATTAGCTAATCTTGTGATTGATCGCACATACGTCACAGATAAACACTGTAATTCATTATTGCGTTTGGTGCTCATTGTATTCCGAGTACAGTTTACCTGTTTCTGTGTCCTCAGCATATGGATGAATGCTCAGCCGTTTCGGTGTTTTTAAAGACAAAAACATGTTTTCCGAGGTGTTACGCCTTTTCAGATATGTATGTTGGTGGAGGGGGGGGGGTCTGGTTTTTTGTGACGATGTCTTACAATTGGGAAAAGGACGGAATCAGCATTAAGCACATACGCCTTGACTTTTCCCAAAAATGAGTTAAGTACACATCAGAGTTGGGTGCACTCAAGGAATTTCTACGTTCTAGACTTTCGGGTTAGCATTCTATCTCTCTACCGCTACGTCAAGCCGCTTTGTAGTCTTACTGTTTTAACCATTTAATTCTGTCGTTTATTTTGACTGCAAACTTTATGACTGCTACTTTACGTATACCATTTTGAAGATTAGTCAAATAGTATTGTTGAAGTAAAAAAAAATATCATATTTTAATGATAGCCTGACTCATTAAAACATAGACCAGTGGGCTCACTTACACTATTGATGTTGGTGCTTTTTTTACCTTAAACAATGTCAATCTTAGGCTCGAATGACTAACATAAATTTGTATAAAAATTAACACTCACGATTCCCTATGAGAAAACAAGCATCATCATTAAATGCACACAGGTTAAGACAAAAATAGATCTATTCCATGTATTACAAGTGGCAGATTCATGACATTCCCAATTTTAAAGAAATTCTAATCAGTATAAAAACAGATATAGATAAAAACTACAATTAACTGTTTATCTTTATATTTGTTTACACTGCTTTTACACAAAAAACGAAAATAACGCAACTTACCTATAAATAAAGCAAGTTTGCTATGAACTTTACTTCACAGTCATACTATTGCCAGTGGTAAGTAATGATTGAGAAGAAGAAATAAAAACATTAACAATATATATAATATGAAATTTAAAACTCTAATCTCCTAACATTTGGCACATTTTAATTTTTTTTTCATTGCATTAGCAGCTTCGATAAGTTATTAGATCATATTAAATAGTCAAAAAAGTGCAGAAACAAATAGTTCCGTCATAAAGAACATATTTTCATGCACCTCCAACGATCTGATTTTTTTAGAAAGTCGAATTGGTTTATTGTTATTTTTTTTACTGACTTATGCTAAACGTAATCATTTTACTTACCGTATAATAATCATATAATTTTTTCTTAATATATAGAAAATCCAAAGATGATTCCAATATTTATCGCCCTTGCTTGTATTGGCTCTAGCTTTGCTGCACAGGTTTGTTTAACGTTGAATGTAATGTTTGTTTTGATTAGATCTAAGAAAAGACTTTTAGATTAGGGTCACGTGTCTTATACAATGCGGAATGTAATGTTTGTTGTAATTAGATCTAAGAATTGACTTTTAGATTAGGGTCGTGTTTCTTATACATTAGCACAAATTCAATATACATCATCGAGTGATAAAATGCACGATCACTAAACCAAAAAGTCAAGACTTTGAGTCAAGATAACTTAAGTCTCTAGGTTGCCCATGAGTCCATCCTGTTCTAATGTGTACCAGGTAAACTCTACTTCATCTGGCTGTCTAGACAAAGCTACTTAAAGAAGAATTTAGATTATTTCTGAGATGTGTATTGATTATGCCTTTTAAATAATAATTTACTTTGTTTCAACTTGACAGGAAAAGTCAGCATTTGAGCCTATACTTTTCCCTTTCGATTATGTAAGTTCTTGAATGTGACTGCATATGAGATACAGTACAGTTATTTTTTTCAAACCATTAATATAAATTATGCTGCATATGTGATCGTAGTTATGTGTTTGACATGTTTTTTTTAATAATACAGATGTACATATTATTTGTTACCACATATTTCTAAATAATATACATTTGTATCTGTTACTTTTTAACTATAGATAATGTAATGTGTAGTATATCAAAGTCTTACAACTGCTGCATCGAACGTGCTAATAGGTGTTTATAGCTTAACGCAGATAGCATTCTTAATGCATTGTATGTATGCATTTAAATAACCTTGTTTACACAATGTATTAAATAAACCGGGAGTGATCTCCCCTAAACTTTCTCGAATATTCTTATATAACTTGGAATGTAGACATGATTTTTAATTACTTAAACTTTTAAAAATAGAATAGAATCTCATAGAAAAAAACATTGCGCACCAAACAAACGCCGAAACAAAATGTGCATAATAGGGCTCAATATTATTAGTACTTTATAAATTTACTTGCGTTTTTTGACAACTCGGAAATAGCGTAAATTAGTACATCCGGTCAACGAAAATTACTCAAAATTTGATAGAAGGTAGAGAATTAGATCTATTACTTACATGTGAAATTTCATTTATCTATATGAAATAGTATTCAAGTTATAGGCTTTTGAAAAATTCAAAGTAGAAAAAGTACCACTTCCGGTTATCGAAAATCGCTAAAACGTTGATACGGATCTACGATTTTGATAAAATACTTATGTATGAAATTTCATCAACCTAGCTGTAACGGTACTCAAGTTATCGTGTTTACACACAGACACACACACAGACAGACAGACAGACACACAGACACACAGACATACGGACAAGATTGCAAAATTATGTTTTTCCGTATCAGTGAGGTGTAAAACGTCGAGATTTGCAAAAATCTCGATTTTTTTTTTGCACGATTACAAGACTTTCCTCTATACTTCGTATATACGAGAAAGTAAAAGGTAGTGTTTTTACTTTCTCGTTTGTGTGTCCGTGTGTAAACACGATAACTTGAGTACCGTTACAGGTAGGTTGATGAAATTTCATATATAAGTATTTTATCAAAATCGTAGATCCGTATCAACTTTTGAGCGATTTCCGATAACCGGAAGTGGTACTTTTCCTACTTTGAATTTTTCAAAAGCCTATAACTTGAGTACTATTTCAGATAGATAAATGAAATTTCACATGTAAGTAAAAGATCTAATTCTCTACCTTCTGTTAAATTTTCAGTAATTTCCGTTGACTAGAAGTAGTAATTTACGCTACTTCCGATTTCTCAAAAAACTAATGTAAATTTTTAAAGTACTAATAATATTGCGCACTATTATAAGCGTTTTTATTTGGCGTTCACTTGGTGTGCAATTAATCTGTCTACGAGATTTTATTCTATTTTTAAAACTTTAAGTATTTAAAATGGATTAAAAATCATGTCTATAGCCCGATTTCCCATCCCCTGTTATTTTATATAAGAATATTCGAGAAAGTTTAGGGGAGATCACTCCCATTTTATTTTTAGCGCAATTTCCATTCTGGAGAATTGCGTTTATTAACTCGTCTTTTCTGGGAATGGATGAATGGATGGATGGATGGATGTGTGTCCGCAGCTTTAAGTCGTATCTCCTCCTCAACAAAGCAATATCGAGGACTAGTTCCAAAGCAAATATGTTAAGCAAGTTACCGGGATGAACATAGGCCAAAAGAATTCCGGGTTTCTTTCATGGATTTCCCGGAAAAGCCAAAAAACCTATTTAAAAAAATCAAGTTTTTGGCCCATATCTCGGCAACCAGACAGCTTAGCGACTTGAAACATGTACCAATCGATTCCTGCCATAATTTAGAACAATATTGCCGAAGAAAGTTTTCAAAAATATCCTTTCGTTCGGTCACAAAAATTTTTTGAATTAATTAAAATTTGGACCGAATTAGTAGGCATTTTACCCAACCACACCACACGCGTCATCACGTTCAATAGCTGCGCCATCACGTTCAATGGCTGCGACATTACGTTCGGTAGCTAGGCGCGCAATGTTTTTTTGTCATGTTACTCTATTGTAAATAAAACATGTAAAATACTGAAAAAAAATTAATAAAAAACGTTTTAATAACTAACCAATGGTTTTACTAACCCTGCTCTTGATTTACGCTACGACAGAGCTATTTTTAGATAACATAAGGAAATTGCGCTAAAATTGTCACTAGACTTTTTTAATTACTTGTTTGGTAGATATATGTAAAAATGTAAACGTATACACATATATAATATATATAAATACAGCTATGTATATTTTTGTGATGTGCCGCAGAGACCGTTATATGACCTCCTGAGAGATGCTGACCTTGAGAGTATCACCTGCACCATCACCATGAGCATCACCATCGGCTGCAACTTCAAGAGAGACGGCGACCAGCACTTCATCAACTTCCTCGGTCAAGACTTCCCAGTGGGCTTCCCACTGGCCGCGTCCAAGAGAGCTGACCAAGAGGACATCTCTGGAACCATCACCATCGACTTTGGCAAGAGAAGTTACGTCTGTGGCTTCCCACGCTCCGCACGTATCATCACCCCAATCTGTCGTCGCAAATAAAAGTAAAGAATGAAAAATAAAATAAAAAATATAATTTAAATGACTAAAATTGATTATTTTAAAAATTATTAATCAAATGAATCAATAAAACACGTATCAGCATTGTTTGTGTTCAGTTATTACTAGATACTTAATTATCATCTTTTTCCGTTCGCGCCTAAGAAACATGGGATAGACTGGGTACAGTTGATCTGTTTCAGTGACCTTGGCATATGACGGATAGTGTTGTCAGCACTACCCCCGGCCGAATTTGTTTCTCTAACGCTAGTAAGCTACCAATTGGATCTGGGTGGACTCAATAGCGTTATACAGACTCGAATTTTATTAGATATTTGCTGATCAAAAATATAAGGGTACAGCGCAGTAGTAAAGAGTAAAAAGGAGCATACCTTAATAAAATATATTACACATTAAAACCCGCATCGCTTTATCGCACCTAGCACGCTGCACAATCCACATTTCATTGCACTAACCCCACAGTTTTCACACAACCGCACACTACACACCATAATTACCACTCACCTGAGGATACAACCCTACTCCTACATATACCACACAACACAAGTAGTAAAACGGAGTAGCAATTAATAGAAAGAAGTAAAAATAGAGTCAAAAAGCCACTTTAGTGGAATAGAGATGAGTGAAGATGTAGTAGACTTCTATATATATTTTAAACCGAATTAGATCTTTTACTTATATGTGAGATTTTGTCAATCTATCTGAAACTGTATTCAAGCTGTAGGCTTTTGAAAAAAACAAAAGTAGAATAAGTTCTACTTCCGGTTACCGGATATAGCTTTAAAGTTGATACAGAAGTTCACATTTGATATAATACTTAATAGGACATTTATTAACCTAGCTGTATCGGTAATCAAATTATCGTGTTCACAAACACAGATACAAATCTACACGTCCATACACACATACATACGGACAAAATTGCAAAGGCTAGTTTATCTAACTATATGACGCAAAAGACGCCGAGACTTTGATACATTTGGATTTATAATTTTTTCCCAAATAGTCCCCTATTCTCCGTATATGATGAAGTACTGAGACGTAAAACGATGAAAACTGCAAAAATTTCATGTGATCTTTGAACACGATTACAATGCTCCCTCTATACTCTAGAAAGTAAAAGAAAAGTTCACTTGAAATGAGCAAATAAACGTAACTACTCTGTAATATATTGAGAATTGTGAAGTCAAGGGAACTCACTCTTCTTGTATTAGTCTTATATTTATAATGTTGTTTTGAGTGATGTCCCTTGTTGTCATGTGACTTCCTGTTCCGTCATGGTAGCTGAATAAAAGTCTAGATACAATCAACGTGGCTCTATTGTCCAGTGTATTAATAATAGAAACATCAATCCATCACATACTCCACTTCTCTAACTATTATCTCACACTGTTCTATATTCAATCGTATTATATAAACTTAAGAAAAGAAAGTACTTTGTCTCAAAATTACCCATCCAGTTTAGATGCTTGGTATGTTTGATGGTTTATTCTCCCTTTCTTTACTTATTTAAAAAAATATATATAAATGAACGATATTTTACATCTGTCTGTAGTTTTTCTTTTCTTTTGTCGAAATGGGTTGAAATTGGCGAGCGAAATGTCGACCTATCCAACAAACCGATATTTAATAAACTCGACAAATACGATGAAGATGTAAAACTTTAAGCAATTTGTTATTGATTTTAACTTAATCGTTTTTTTTTGTTTAAATTAAATTGTCTTTGTAAATCATTGTATAATCTTTTTGATACATTTAAAAACATTCTTATAATCTCAAAGTCTACACTGGCTATGTTTTCATATTCTAGTCAAATTAGCCATTGTTAATCTTCACACTGTTTTCATATATCTAACCTAATTGCTACGTTGTGGTCTGTATATAATAACACAGTAATCCCTATTTCTTTGTCTTAAGTAATTAGCTTACTATGCCTTAGTGCGTTCAGTCACTTTTTCCTGTACACGTGAATATACTCTTCACTTTTTGTATTGCTCACGTTAGCAAATGCAGATAGTTGTTCTATTTGCAATATTCTTATTGTTAATTCGTGTAGTATCTTCTTTTTACTTACTAAAACTATTTTTTTCCCCGGTGTAATTGATCTGAGTGCAAAGTTCAAGAGTTGGTTTTTCTTATGATTAAATTGACTTCCTTATATTTCTATTATTAGCACTTTTTAACAGGCTGGTAATAAATGTAACAATGTATTCACACAAACTTATTTATGTTGTTCTGTTTGTTTGTTATACCTTACAAACCATAGGTAAGTGTTTATTTTAGTTTATTTATGTAAGTGTATTAATCCGTCTCGCGTTTGATTTATATATATATATACATACAATTATATATATATATATATATATATATATATATATATATATATATATATATATATATATATATATATGTATATATATATATATATATATATATATATATATATATATATTATAATATTATATTTTTATTATACACTCTTATAGTTTATTAGTAGTCTATACCACACTTTGCCTACTTGGCTTATAAGCTATTAATTAATGAAGCTGATGCATTACTTTTCTGACTGCGGTCTCTCTGAAGCCTCGACTAAACTGGATGTGTTACTGGAAGACGAAGACAGGAGAACTGTGACACAATTAACTGAACACGACCGTGTCACAATAGTGTGTAGTTTATCCGATGTAAGCACAGCGACCCAAATATTACTGACTCTCCAGTGTGACCTGGCGATACTCATAGGCACTGTCGGCAGTCGAACTCACGAATTAAGACAGAAGATTAAAGTTAATCCACAGATGGATCAACAGAAGTGTGTGTGTTCGGCAGTTAATCCGCAAACTCATGAGGTTTTAAAACGAGAAATTGTACTCAACGTCAAATGTAAGTGCGATAATTTTATTAACTGTAATCATTAACTGATAAATCATAAAAAATATTGAAATATTAAAGTTCTTTTCATGATAATTGAGACAAATATGATCTGACTTTGACAATGGGATATCTTGGTTAAACTGTAGAGCACTCAAAAGCTATGACTCACGTCAAGTGTTCGAATTACTTATCTGGTTATACGTCACGTGTGTGTCTTGAAAGTAGCGTTGTAGAGTGTGTTGTTATAATGTTGATCGAGAAACAACTTCTTTATTAGTCAAGGAAATACAATCCCAGTAAACCTTTAGGGCATCTAAATATAATTTGGTCTGTTCGTATGTTAGTTGGTTTGTAGGCAAACACAATTTTAGATTGATAATCAACCCGAAAAAAAGATAACTTATGTGAAAAAGCACTTTAAAATAATTAATTACAGACCATATTACTAATACTTTTCAGCTGAAAATAGCTCTGAATTTGAATACTAATACCTATATTACTATAGTGACATACTATTATTGTTCTGACAAATCTTACAAATATATATTTTGTTTAATTTTGTTTCGTTTTTAACAGACCCTCCAAGATCTGCCCCTTTGATCTCTACCACACCCAATGTAAAGACTAGATCAGTTATCGATGTTTTTGAATACCAGCAACTTGAGGTGTCGTGTGTTGTAGAGGGCGGTAACCCAGTAGTGACGTCAACAGCCATAACGTGTGACGTGCCTGTCTTCTTGAACAACTCACTTCACGTGCACTCGTCAAACGGGGATCACGTGACCATAGCGCTGAGAGTTACAAGACGTCTGAACAGAATGAGATGTTTCTGTAGTGCTGAGCATGTTACAGGCATGTACAAGCTGGAAAGTTATGTTACATTCTTGGTCAAATGTAAGTTATGTGTTACTTTCGTGTAAGGCACGTTTACATCAATATTACTTATGTTACATTTTTGGTCAAATGTAAGTTATTTGTTATTTTCGTGTAAGGCATGTTTACATCAATATTACTTATGTTACAGTCTTGGTCAAATGTAAACTGTTTGTTACTTCCTTGTTTGTATATTTACGTCAATGTTAGTTACATTGCGAATTTGTCAAATTACTAGACATCTAGTACAACTAAGTTAGTCGTATTGTACAACAATGTTAGAGTAAATTATAGTTTACATTCATATGCGGTGTTGCAATTAAAAATACTGAAATCAACTATGTGCAAATTCAAATCATTGTTTGAAAGCACACACAAAACTAAACCAGACATATATATATATATATATATATATATATATATATATATATATATATATATATATATATATATATATATACATGCCTGCATGCGGGCGTATGTATGTATTTATATAATATAATGCAACGCGGTCATTAAAATGTGTTAATTTTAATTTTCTTATCATATATTAAAATTAATCAATCCGTTGCTGCAGTGTCTTTTACATCAATATCTACTTGAATTTTCCAACACAGATCCCCCAGAAGAGGCTCCTGTGTTTTCCATCATCCCTAACAAAGCGCTCAACATGTCCACTGTCATTGTTGACGAATACAAAAACATTGAACTGCGCTGTATGGTTAAGGGCGGTAATCCTATTGTAACGAGAACAGACATAATTTGTCCAGTTACCTCCCTTGGTGTAAGCGAGGTTTCACACAACAAGACGTCTAACGGTAACCAAGTCTCCATGACTCTACCAATAACTAAAGCTCTGGACATGATGACGTGTGTCTGTAGTGCTGACCATTTGACGCGGAGATATAATCTTAGCAGTCAAATAATCTTTCACGTCCAATGTGAGTTTCATTTTTCGGTATATAATAGAAAAAAAAATCACTTTTAGTGAAAAAAATGTTTAAAAACCAAAGAGTAATATTTATAAATTTGTTGACAGTTGTCCTTTTATAAAACCGTTTTTAACTACTTAAAATTTTATAAAAAAATGAAAAATTTGAAAATAATAATGTAGTGATTGTCGTCGTGTATTCTCAAAGGAATTCTATGTGGTATTAAATAACCAGATTGTTTCGTAACCTCAAGAATATTTTTATTTTTGGAAAACGCTAATTTGATAACTATATTTAAATGTTTTCAATTTTTAAAAATTAGTTTTAATATAAATAATATAAAAATTAAGATTAAAATAGTATAAAATATCGAACAATATTCACGAATTTATATTTGGTTCCAGCAAAATATGAGAGTAAATATATTCAGTTGAAAAACGGCCATCCAGCTAATAAATAACGATTTAAAAATTACCATGGATTTTGATTAAATTTATGAATATGGGTTTCAATTTTCACAGACGCACCAATAAACCCACCCATGATTTCAACAATACCGAGGCAGCAGTTGACTGGGTCTATCATCACGGTTAAACCAAATCAAAATGTGGAGTTAACATGTACAGTTGAAGGCGGGAAACCAAAAGTCTCCTCCACAAGTCTTGCGTGTGACAGAGATGTGATGGACATCAATGGAACTTGGCAGAGAAATCACTCCGCCAGTGGCGACACGGTGCGCATTAATCTTACAGTAACAGTGAGGTTTGGTCACGTGATGTGTTACTGCACGGCTGATCATGTGACGCAGCAGTACGTTCTGTACAGTAACGTCACTTTTAAGGTGGTGGGTGAGTTGATTGTTAATTAATTCTTGATACGTTATCTTTTAAAAAGAACTGTAACAGTGTTGATGGTTTCTTAGTTTTATAGTTATCGGCTAATTGTTGTTTGTATAAGACTTTCTTTTACAACTCAATTTAAAATGTATAATTTCGACAGCCGTTAATTACTTGAAAAATTAGTCAGTTTAGCAGCTAATGAATATATTTATTTTGACAAAAAATTGAAAATCTATTAAATTTTTTATTCTGAATAATTATTTTGTGTAAATATTATCTAAACAATACACTAATTAGAAATTAAAGCTCAACAAAAATATTTTCATTATAAAAAATCTCGTGTTTGTTTAATATTATGTGAACAATATGTTTTCAGAATTCCACAGCATTTCAAACAGCTTGAATGGGGGCAGACAAATCCTGATTGTCCTAGGGGTTGTCTTATTTCTGTCAGTTACTGCGTTGATTATCTTTCTTGTTTTTGTCAGCATTAAAGGTAAGTCACCATGTTATTCCGTTTTTTCACCTTCCAATGTCTAAACTTTCCTCAGTGTAGTTGAGTTAACATTACATTATATCCGTGTTGTTGAGCCTTAACATTACAATCTATCACTGTTGTTAGTGTAGTCGAGTCTTAACATTAAATTCTATCAGTGTAGTTGAGTCTTAACCTTACATTATATCAGTGTAGTTGAGTCTTAACATTACATTCTGTCCGTGTAGTTGAGTCTTAACCTTACATTATATCAGTGTAGTTGAGTCTTAACATTACATTCTGTCCGTGTAGTTGAGTCTTAACCTTACATTATATCAGTGTAGTTGAGTCTTAACATTACATTCTGTCCGTGTAGTTGAGTCTTAACCTTACATTCTGTCCGTGTAGTTGAGTCTTAACATTACATTCTGTCCGTGTAGTTGAGTCTTAACATTACATTCTGTCCGTGTAGTTGAGTCTTAACCTTACATTCTATCAGTGTAGTTGAGTCTCAACATTACATTCTATCTACATACAGATAAACATACGTATGTCAATATCAATCTAACAATCAATCTAACAGAGGAAATATTTCGTCCAGCACAAACCATCTACCAGCATTGTATACAAATCAAAGCCCCGTCGTACCCCAGCCAGGAGAGAACCTTAGTGACCCTGTTGACAGGCGGGATCACCAGAATGTTTATCAAAACGGCTGTTTTATCTTTAACAATGGGGAGTCGGTGATCGAACAGCTGACGTCTCAACATGACGGTTATGTAACCATTGATGACGTGGAACAGTCTGTGTGTATGAAATGTGAGACGTGTCCAGAGCATCATGACGTGGAACAGTCTGTGTACGAAATGTGAGACGTGTCCAGAGCATCATGACGTGGAACAGTCTGTGTGTACGAAATGTGAGACTTGTCCAGAGCACCATGACGTTGATCTGAACGCCGTCAGAGATCAGCTAGATGCTGTTCAATGTCCAGTACATGATGATATTGTAGGCCCAACAAATACATCTGTTGTTATAAAACCACATATTAAATTAAATTCTACAAATGATGGCATCTTAAAAAGGCCAGAAGATGATTCAAACCAAGCATATATTGATACACCCACTAGACATGACGATAATGGCATGAAAAAACCTGCACATATCGAAGAAGAGGACACAGCCGTTGATGAATCCATGATAAACGATGAAAACGAAAAACCTGACGATGTTTATCTAAATCTCTACGACAGTCTCGAAGAGATAACTTAGCGTCATACCAACAGAACAGCTTAACCATTCAGTTTTTTTTCAAGGAATATTTTGTGGGAAAATTATATTACAAATTAAACATACGAAATCCGAAATGAAAAATCTGTAATAATAAATTTAAAAAAAAAAAAATTCCAACATCGTGTTTACAATATTTAATGTCATGTAATTACAAAACTACTTGGCTTATCTATGCAACCTTTTTGCTCTAGGTTTATATCTTAATTAAAAATAACTTAGTCGTCGATCTAATCACTTAGGTCTTATCTTATAGTTCAAAAAAGACAATCAATTGCATGATTGCATTTTATCTTGACCTATTAGACTTTGTTTTGCTAAATGTTTCAGTCATTTATTAATAACAAAATAAAAATAACCTAGATCTTATTCATTATTGTTGTTTAAAATCAAAATGCACTTGGTTTTTTTACTTTCTCGTATACGAAGTATACAGGAGGTATTATGATCGTGCAAAAAAAATGGAAATCGAGATTTTCACAAATCTCGACGTTTTACACCTCCCTGAGTCGAAAAATATGGTTTTGCAATATGGTCCGTATGTCTCTGTGTGGGTATGTATGTGTGTCTGTGAACAGGATAACTTGAATACCGCTACAGCTAGGTTGATGAAATTTCATATATAAGTATTATATGAACTTGTCAGGGATTTCCGATAACCGGAAGTGGAACTTATTCTACTTTTAATTCTCCAAAAGCCTATTATTTCAGATAGAGCTGTGTCTGTCATTGACTTTTCTTACCATCTACTGAGTTGATGACAGTAGCATACGTCACTGTCTAGTTGTTTTATTTTCTACTTATCAACAATTCATAATTTGTGAATTCGACAATACCCCCCCTCCCATCCCACCCCACCAACACACCCCGCCCAGTGAAAGCAGCCGTTTACAGACGACAATGAAAATATCAAGCAGAACGTATTATCTCCCCTTAGTTTCAAATTGTCACTTATTCGAAACGGCTCTACTATTGTAAACATTCCGGTTGAACCATGGCTCACCTGACAGGTGGGCTGAGGGTGGTAGCGATATACCTAGAAAGCAGGGTAGGAACGGCTAAGCTGCGTGGTGTCTCGTATGGTCCCCATGAAAAGAATTATATAAATAGATTCTGTAAAGTTTATTCATCCAAGCTCGTGGCTATGTCACGACATCCGAGATAGTACATCGGTAGTGGAACCTTCACAACATTGGTATGGAACCCCCACAGTATTTAGTAGTTGAACCCTCCCAGTATTTAGTAGTGGAACCCTCACAACATTTGGTAGTGGAATCCCCACAGTATTTGGTAGTTGAACCCAAACAGTATTTGGTAGTTGAACCCTCACAGTATTTAGTAGTGGAACCCTCACAGTATTTGGAAGTAGAACCCTCACAGTACTTGATAGTGGAACACTCACAGTGTTTGGTAGTGGAAATCTAACGGTATTTGGTAATGGAAATAGAACCCTCACCGTATTTGGTAGTGGGACCCTCGCGGTATTAGGTAGTGGAACCCTCACAGTATTTGGTAGTGGGACCCTCACGGTATTAGGTAGTGGAACCCTCACAGTATTTGATGATGGTATTGAATGGTAAAACGCTCACAACTCTAAAACCTACTAGGTTCTAAGTATCAAATTAATGTTACTGAAATTGACCTTTCGCTGGCTTTTAGAAATTACTTCTTTCGTTGTGTGTTCCACAAAATCACCACTAGCAGACAATTAAAAATATATATATCTTCAAATATAAAAACAAATGCATACATCAATAACGTGCTTGTAAGTCTCGATCTCTCTCACTCAAATTTTGAAATCACGTTAGTCAGTGAGAGTTATATGATTAGTTATGGTAGGATTAAAAGTAGACGTAGCTCGTACGATGGAAAATGTATTCATACAGCGAATCTAATCGTCTTTACAATGATGCTAAATGTATAGTTAGCTGGACATAAATTTGTATATAGTTTTTGCTTGCCGATAACTCTTGATCAGAGTACCTGTAATATGTCTTGAAATATATTGTTGGCATGTTTTTATCTATTATATATATTATATATATTTTAAAGTGTATTTTGGTGTGTTTTTTTTTTTTTGAGAAATCGGAAGTTGCGTAAATTTCCATTGCTGGACACAAGTTCATGGTTTTTTGTTCAGTGGCGCAACACATAAGTCTCATGGACATTCATCCAGTTGTCATATTATATATATGGTGCCATATGTATGTGTATATATACATGTATAGATATGTATCTCTCTCTCTCTCTCTCTCTCTCTATATATATATATATATATATATATATATATATATATATATATACATATATATAACATATATATAACATATATATATATATATATATATATATATATATATATATATATATATATATATATATATATATAATATATATATATATATATATATATATATATATATATATATATATATATGTATATATATATATATATATATATATATATATATATATATATATATATAAAACAGAAAAAGTCATATGCTTCAAACTTGAATTGTGACTTTACAGGGTAGCAGCTGGACATTTACGTGATGTCGTATGGACATGAAATCGTATGTTTTAAATTTGTGTGGGAACACATCTAATAGATTAAATATCTAACACAGATAATACTGAATTTCATATGCGTTTAATTTATTCTGTCGAATACTATTTTTAATATATTATTTTCTTAATTTTAAATTAAATCACATTTAAAACTATTATTGTGCACGTTTATCTGCCAATACAGACTGGGTTAATGCCGTTGAAGCCACAGTCGTAAACTCTCTTGCCGAAGTCGATGGTGATGGTTCCAGAGATGTCCTCCTGTCCAGCCAGCGGTTGACCCCCCACTGGGAAGTCTTGACCGAGGAAGTTGATGAAGTGCTGGTCGCCGTCTCTCTTGAAGCTGCAGCCGATGGTGATGCTCATGGTGATGGTGCAGGTGATACTCTCAAGGTCAGCACCTCTCAGTAAGTCTCTCAGTGGAGTCTGGGCATTTAACAAGTTTACACAAGGATATCACAAACATATGCATCACCGTAAAGATATGTAATACTGTATTAAAATAGGGGTCGGAGTGGTCGGGTCAGTCAAGCTCGCTGTTGCTAAACCGATTAGTCCCGGGTTCGAACTTCCGTGCCGATGGGGCTCTAAAGCTGAGGACAGCAACCCATCTAGGAGAGGAAACTCCAAAATCAAACAACTGCGTTTTTGTTTTTTGTTCTTTGTTGTACAACGTCTATCTAAGCATATCCAGAAATAAAATCCGGATGAATTCGCAGCCAATGGCGTATATGGCGCACAACATATTCACACGTAATTCTTAATTGTTTTCAATTATATCAAATTTACGTTGCAGCAGAAGAAACCTTAAATGTTTTCAGTTTAACCAAAATTTTGAAATTATTACAAACTCTTTAACTCAAATACTGTACATAGAAGATTGTTTAAATGTATATATAAACAAGATATACAATGCATTTAGAAATCTTACTGTGACAAGCATTGATATTTAAATAGCCAGAAAAATAAATAAAACAAACTGCTTTGGTAAAAGCTATGGTAGCTCATGAGAACTTTGACAAAGTTTAGCGTCCAAAGCCTTTATAAATGAAGCTTGTTTCATTTTCTTATTTTCAGTGTAATTAAAAGCTTGTTATTTTAATGGTTTTATATTTGATTTGTTTTTTAACATCCCGCATGGACGTCATAAATTAATGTCCCAAATTTACTGGGCAGGATTTCGGGTTTGATTAAATGGATTCATATGCGGTTAAAAAATGTAAAGGGAGGGGTGGGCATAATGTGATATTGTTTTGTGTTGTGCAGTGCTCTGACTGACCGTTTCCGAACTGGAAACCGGGTCGCCTAGTAACATTTAAAAATTTAAAAAAATCAAGACACTTACATAAAATGGAGGGATAAGTGGAGGAAGTGTAAACAATTGGAAAAGGTCCTTTTCCTGTGGAGTGAACACAGTAATATTGATGTTAATAAACAATATGTATCTAGGAAAATAAGCTAAAGACTTTTTTGTGGAGTGGCTAGTAATATTGATATTAAAATTCATAAACAATATGTATCTAGGAAAATAAGCTAAAGACTTTTTTGTGGAGTGGTTAGTAATATTGATATTAAAATTCATAAACAATATGTATCTAGGAAAATAAGCTAAAGACTTTTTTGTGGAGTGGTTAGTAATATTGATATTAAAATTCATAAACAATATGTATCTAGGAAATAAGATAAAGAGTTTTACAGAGCAAATTTTCATGTCAGATGACAATGAGGTCACCTGTTTCGCTGACGTAGCATTGCACATTATTATGGACAGCACTGTGCCCTGTCAGGTACCTATTAAAGCTGAGTGAACAAGCTACGGACTCAAGTCAGTCCACCAAACTCGAGTCTTTTTGGATAGTGATCGTGCACGCTACAGCTTGAGCACGCCTTTTATGCTTTTTGCTTTCGAAAAGGAACCAAAATCACTGCGTACATTTGTTTAAAAAAATAGCGCTAGTATTTTGATTCGTTTATCAGAATTAAACACAAGCTCAAACGAACCTGGGCTGCGGAACTGGAGCCAACAAAGGCAAGGGCGATAATTACTGGAAGCATCTTTAGATATTCTATATGTACAAAACAAAAAAAATGTGTGTATTTTCATATAAAAAAAATATTGTTTTTTTTATGAAATAAAAATATAGAAGTATAATCAATTTTCTTTCTAAATATTTATATTTTGTTTGTAAAGTCATCAAATATGTTCTAAAGATATGAACTATTAAATTATTTACGTGTAATCTGTTCAACACTTAAAGATTTTTTTTAACATCTAAAGGTTTTTCAAAGCCACACTACCATCGAAAATTTCAAATGTGTCAAAACAAAATACCGATCTAAGGGGATCGGTCTTTTGTTTATTTTAATACGTTCCTAACTATGTTAAAAAAAAATAACGGCTTATTGTGGCTTGTAACATGTTAAAATGTTCTTGTCTATCTGCGACAAAAAGTAGATGTTAATATTAGTGTAAACCTATCACTCACCACTGGCAATAGAATGACTGTGAAGTAACGTTTACTCTGGACTAGCCTTACTTATAGGGAAATTGTGTTTTTTTTTTTTTAATTTTAATTTTTTTTTATGTGAAAAAAAAAATTAAGATAAAGAAAACCTTTTAAACTGTATATCTTTTTTTATTGTAAATTTCTGCGATGTGGGTCTTGGAAGAATAACCAACTTTCTAAAATACAGAATAAGGCTTTTTTTTTTAAACTTGTGTTTTAGATGGGGAGTGCTTGATTTTGGTTTCGACATTGTCGTGTGGAAATATTTTAAATTTAAATACAGTCTAGCTAGTACCTGTTCTTTTACAATTAATATCAATGTTAGTTAGTTAGTTGGATGTGTTTGTTTTAGTGTGCCCCACAGGCAAGCACTTTCTCATACAAATGTCAACATGAGTTTAGATTTAGTCGATCTGGGTGGAGTGCTCAAGCTTATGACTAAATGAACGATAGGCGAGGTGATTTGGTAAAGTGTTTAGTGGATCCGGCCTAAAGTTGTTCTATTTTTAATATGGTTAAATTAAGTTTCTTTATTACCTTCTGTGATCAATTAACATTGCCAATATTGCTATGATTTAACTTACATTGACTAATCTTTCAAATTGTATATGTAAAATAACAGAATAAATGTTTGTTGATATGTATTCTTGTTGTCAAGTAAAAAATATGTTTTCGAGGGTAAATAACTTAAAGATTATGACGGAGCAATCACATATGGGGTCATCCAAAAATGACGCCACACTCATACGGAGGGGGGGGGGGGGGTTCTTAACTTTGTGACGGTGTGTGATGAGGGGGAGGGGGGTTTAGATGGTGTGACGTCACGCTTTAGCATTTTTAAAAAGCAATGTTAGAAAATGAGTTTTAGGCGTTATTTCGCGTTTTAGAAAACGGTTTAAAAAAATTGAAACAGGAATTGATAGAAGTAGTCTATGTTGACAGAGTTATGACAAGATTTTGGAATAACATCAATGTTTTAAGAAAAATTCAACAGCCATTTTTAGGGGGTTGTAGGCTGATGTGTAACGTCATTTTAGGGGTGGGTCTTGTTTTTTGTGACGACGTGTGACGCAAGGGTGGGGGAGAAAAATCGTAAAAAAAAGATAGACGTCATTTACTGATGACCCTTATGGATATCGACGATAGGGGAAAGAAAGTAAATAATCTGATTAAAAAATAACTGAGATTTTTCTTTGATATTAGATTAAAAACTACTGCAGCTTCTATTGTTGAAAATACCAAACAAATCTGACACTATAAGACATTGCAGTTGCTTATTTGAACGTGTTTACAATGACACAAACTGCCAGGTCAGCTTGACGTAATCTTTGGTTGAACTTATTTAAATTTGGACATTTCCGTTTCCGGACACAAGGTCATCGCTATCTCCTGCCATCTGTACTGCCGACATGACCTTCTTTTAACTTATTAAATATTGTCGGGTCATATTTTTCTTTAAATTTTTATTTTATTTTTTTAAACTACCCTGCGAGAACCTTACATTTGTGTTGTTGATTGCATTAATACTTCATGTCGTTTCCGCAAATTTCTTCTTCATCTTTTTATTCTTCGTTGTTAATTGCAATGTTGAAAATTATTCATGCGACACAATTACACAGTACGTGTTTTGAGCAATACAGCCCGTGGATCGTATTGCAGCCTGCTTTCTTTCTGGAATTGCTTCAATTTTTCTTAGGTAGATGGGTTGCTTTACCCAGATATCGAGCCATATCTACCATGAACTTTACTGACCCAAACACACCGACCCGTGTTCATCTCACTATCTCACTAGCAATGGTTAAACAAATTCATGTGTGCCTCATTTTATTGCAAATGAAAACTAAACAAGCCAGTATCTATATATATATAAAGCAATGTATGTGTGTCTGTGTGTCTGTCTGTTTGTTTGTCCTTTATGCATTACTACACCTCTCATCACATCGCCGTGAAACTTTGGGAAGTTGTTGAGAATATTCCTGGGGAGGTTTCTTCGAAAAAAAAAATCCAATTCGTAGGGGTGGCGCCCCGTCAGGGCGCGATTTGTTTTTTCTTTATATAAAAGTGAATTGCAGTGACACCGTTCATCCGATAGGCACGAAACTTTTGGGAGTTCATTATAAAACAACTCTAGAGAAGGGTTCAGTAAAAAAATCATTTTTAATTTCGCTATGGGGCGTTACAAACGATTACTAAATTGAACCAGGCGTGTCCTCTGGCGCACTGGTAGGGTGCGATTGCATCATATTGCATCAGTCACACTGATGTTTAAAACGCGTCAACTAAATTGTTTACGTGTTAAATAACAAATCCTGTTTATTTGTGTCACTTTAGTGCCTATGCAGTAGTGTAATCGGGGGGGGGGGGGGGCTCCTGAGTGCGGGCCTCTACGTCTCTGACACATGGGCGGTCACAGAACATATGATTGGTAACGCGTTGGTGAAATCCTAATATATTTCGTCAAACTTTCTTCTATCCCTGCGGCAACGCGCGGGGGGCGGGTACGCTAGTACTATAATAAAGATGCCATAGCTTTAGTGTAAAATGATTGAATTGTTATAAATGTTTAATAATACGACGGATCTATATTTTATACCTCGTGATTTTGCATACGAGAATATGATGTATCGTATCTGTATTACTCTAAAATGCATATATATATATAAATGTATATATATATATATATATATATATATATATATATATATATATATATATATATATATATATATATATATATATCGGTTAAAAACATTTCACCGACCACATTGTAGCCTTTATATACCATAGAATTCAGGCGTCATTTTACTTGATGCGGATCACAACATACAAAAGCATACTTTTAAAAAATATAAATTATCCTAAGATTTCTAAAAAAATTAAAGGTTGTCGTTGCAATCATATGTTTTTTATTTAAATGTTTTGATATATAATCTGACTTTTTTTCTTACAGACCTTATTATTTTCGTGTTTTAAAACCATAATTACTTAGTATAAATCCTTTATTTTTCCTAGTGATTACGTTTATTAATAAAGGGAACGGAAAAACAAAGATACATTGTTACTAATTTCTAGGGATCAATGTTGAACTACTTTATATACAAGAAAATCAATTTTAAATTAGCAAGTAAATGAATTTAAAGAAAATAAGATGATTTTGATTTGATCTGTTTATTTTCGTTAATATTTTTGTCTCTAATTATATTTGTCGATGTCAATTACCGGTTGAATTAAAAATACACTGCTTACATTTATAATGCATGCGTAGTGTTTTTCTTATATAGAAGTATACCTATTAACCTGCTTTACCGAACATTTTCAATATTAAGCACATCGAAACGTCTTTCAGTTTAAATGTTGAAGGAAATTATTTATTTTATATAACCAAAATCATATTGTTTTAGGGCATATACAATAACTAAGTTAAACAAGCTAAATGTAATTTAAATAATAAAAAAAATGTTAATCCTTTCACATTTGAAACGTTAGTCGATGTTTGTACTCATTGACTCATACAAGAAATTTTAATTGTTTGATGATGTGAATACTCTTTGATTGTTGAACCTTCACCTCTATTACTCATGACGTGTTTTAAGTCAAGTCTCTTTAATCATAATTTTTCAAGTATTTTGAGCTTTCCTGATGAGAGAGTGAAGTTCAGAAGTAACTCATTCAAAAAACCTGCAGACCGAATAGATGAATATTTTCAGAAGCATGATCATGATAAGAAAATCAAAATGCTCATGTACATTTTGTTGTTTGATTTTATTCAACACAGCTTTGGTATGTTGTCACAAAAAAATGCAAATAAACACATATACACACGCAAATACAGATAGACAAACACATACAGAAATACACACTTTCGTACGGAGGCGCATATTCATTAACACGTGTACTCACACTCAAACATAAATACAAACACTAACACTTTAAATATATTGATATTTAATATGAACATTTCTTTAATAGGTGCAGTGAATATAGATCTGTCTTTATTAGATGTCAATCGTAGGAATATCACAAAAGTATACGACAACAATACGTTTATATTTGAGTGTCACGTAGATAAAACAACAGAAACATCAAAGTTCTTTGTGTCAGCTACCTGCGATCTCCCAGGTGTTGTGGATAAAAAGAGTTTAGCTCCTGCAGCGTTTGAGTTTACAGTTAGCAGCTTCATGCACCAGGTCAAATGTGTTTGTGTCGCTGAACTTCCTGAGACTAAGACGTATGTACAGAAGGAACTACTGATTGAAGTCATACGTAAGTCAGCTAGGTAGCCTTCAGTGTGGTGTAGTTTTCGTGATCACTTTAATTGTTGAAATAATTTAAAAAGTAACAAAATAAACAGTAATTTAAAGTTTAAATTCTAAACTACTAAACTCGAATATTTGAGTAAAAGCACCAACTTTCATCTAAAACACGATACATTTTAGGTCGGTTGTATAACTACAGTGAAAATTATATTAATTTGCAATCTATGTTTGAGTGTTAACATTATATTGCTTTGTAACGGATAGTGTGGTGTGAGAGTGATCAACATAAATCCTACATACTTG